CCTTCCCAGGATGCAATTCTGCCTAACTTTTGGATACCTATTTACTGCTAGGTGAACAGGTGCATTAGGTGATAGGAAATTCACTTAACCATTTCTGTCCAGCCCAGGATTTGAACCTAGAATTTTAGATTGTGGGTCGAGAACAAACCAGACTGTATTACTGTATTCTTAAAAATCTTAATACAATTAACTAGGGGTTTAAGTGTGGATGGGGATGCACATAGCGTTGCCTGGTATAGGGTGTCAGGTAAATGTGTAATGTTGCTGTTGTTGATTGAGAGGCAATGAGAATCGAGTGATTGGATGCGCCTTAAAGGATAGCACGATGGGAAGACAGGAAGAGAGTATACTGTAATTTACATGGATTGACAACTTCACACTTGGGAATAAAACTCTCTGGATTCTATTGTTCTGATTAAAAAAAAAACTATTATTGTACTACACTAGCCAATTACAAAAGGAAGTTCAATTTTATCACCTAATGTTGTTTGATACAAGTCACCATGTAGGATGAGGTAATGTACTGTTAAAAATAACTAAACAATGAGGAAACAAGAACTATTTTTTAGCTAAATCATACACTATCAATATGAGGAGTTCTAAAAATGTTGAACAGAAATATTGAGAAAGATAAACATGACATCCATAAGGTACCTGAGATGCATAATAATTTGCGAGTGCAGTAACTCCCAAGGTGTGTAGAGTCAAGGTCTTAAAACACACACAACTATTAAGTTACATTAGGCACAATTTAGTTTGTTAATGTTTTAATATACAGTGCTCTCCAGAAAATCTGGACCAACATGTAATGGATCCCTTGGGGAAAAAATATCAAATCCATGCACTGGATTTTCTATTCCTCCAAAATTCAAATTTAAAAAATAATCTAGTTATTTATTTATTTATATACAAGAAGGTACATTAGGTTTATGAGAGTACATTGATGTTTGATGATGATGATGATGAGCATTGATGTTTTTACATCCTTGTAAACCAACTATCACGCATAGCATTCGGGCAGGTCCGTAATATAACAGATAATTTTAAGTAGGTAAATTCTAGCAACATTGAAAAAAAAGATTACAGGTGCATTGTAAGAAAATTTGACAGAATAGTAGATACATTTAAGAAAAATTTGAGGGTTATCAACAGGTATATTGTAGGGTAATTTAAGGATTATTTCAAGGTATAATACAGTAAAATATGCATTCAATTTAACAACCATGATATAAGGTGATAGCAATGATTACAATGGTAAAGTTGTATGGCTTTGGTGCATAAATTGGGGGATTGGGTAGCACTAGATACAATCTGAGTTTAAACCACTAGGTAGGAAACTATGAAGATGAAATTACTGTAGGTACTTTTTGGTTATATTTCTGAATAAGATAAAAGTTGGACAGCTTTTCAATTTGTTAAGGAGTGAGTACCATAGACTAGGTCCCTTTCTTTGCATAGGGTTTACACAGATTAAGTTTTACTCTGGGGATATCAGAGACAAGAGGTTATGGAGAAGGGATATAGATGTGAAGAGGGCCCTGTCTAAGAGTCTGTACATCCGGCAGAGCCAACTGCAGGAGTCGGTGTCAACCGTCCATCCCATGGACAGGGAAATGAACTGAGACAGTTCGTCCGCCAGGACGGCCCGTCCTTCATTTCTGCCATAGGAACACTCCCCAGACATGAATCTTATGGACAGCCAAACCCCGAGAACCCCGGTAGGCAAGCGAGTCACTCGAAGAGACCAGCCCCAAAGAGCCAAGGACTGAAAAGAACCCCTACGGTTCAGGCAATGAACCACCGAAGAACAGTCCAAATTGAGCCTCATCGTCGAACCCCGATGGAGGAGTTACCCAAACCCTCTGAAGTGCCAACCAAACCGCCGGAACTCCCACACCGTGCTGTGAGTCCAATGGAAGGACAGAGCCCCTGGCCGGCCTGGTTACAAAGCCCCAGCCGAGAGATGAGACATCCGTGAACACATTGAGCAAGGGTCTGGGTAGATGCCAAGGCATTGAACCCCAAAAAAACCCAGGAGGTAACCGGTGATGCAGCAACCGACGCAAAGCCCCAGGGGGCTGAACCCAACAATCGCGAGAGCAGCAAATGGGAGATCCCCGAAGGAATCATAACAGCCGCCGAAGCCACACCTGACCCAGCGGCTAAACTAGCACGACGAAGTTCAGACTCCCACACAGCTGCTTGAGCAACTGCCGAGTGACCTGAGAGTCCTCCAAAAACAGGCGAAGGCAGGACTGCAGCTGCAGCAACGACTCCGGAGTGAGAGACAAGGAAGTGGTCCGAGAGTCCCACACAATACTCAGCCAAGACGTAACCCAGGATGGAACCAGATGGGACTTGAGAAGCAAAAAAAAAAAAAAACACACACCTTCCCTCCTTGAAACTTGGCGCAAACAACTTTAACAAGGCAGCCGACACCTTAGCCACCGAGGCAAGCATACTGGACGAAGACCCAGCACCCAGTGCCTTCACATCCTCCTGAAGCCAGTCTGAGGACAGCTCGAGAAGAAATGCAAGATCGGGGCCAAATGCCCAAGGGTACACAAATCCTCAGCTACCAAAGCAGCCGAAAGGGAGGGAACCTGCACAACGCCAATATCACGAGGAAGCATAGGGGCGAACAAGCACATGTTAAGGCGCTCAAACTCGCCCCCCAGGTAAACCTATACCACAGTGGAAGTCTCCCGCTAATCAAGTGTGCGGGGTAAGACAAAACCCATGCCACGCTCCCAATGACAAGAAAGGCCAGTCTGCTAACCAGGAAGACTACCTCGTAACGTACCCAAATGGGGAAAGTTAAACCAAACTCAAAAGAAGACAGATCCATCACTGAGGTGTAATCCGGGTCGCATCATCTGCTATGCGGACAATCGGCACGACGGTGTTAGTGATGCTTGCTTGTTTTAGTTTGGAAGTTTTGCCTATCTGTTAGGGTTTTGGTAGCAATTTTTAACATGTGGGTTTTGTTTCCCGTGCCTCTCTGTGGGGGCCAGGTTCTGGCTCATGGTTCTCGGTAGGCAAGAACTCCAATCGACTGATGCCACTGTAATACATACATATCAGCCCAGTAAGCTCCGGGGAGCCATAGGGGCTCCCCACAGAAAAATAATGCATTACAGTAATATTTAAGGAATGTTCTACTAAGTTTTTAGTGTATGTACTATAAATTGTACAAATGAGTTTGTGACATTTTTTCTGAAGAATCCAACCCCACCGTGAGGGCACATATAACAACCATGTTTTCCTTGTGTGTGTGTGGTCTGACCTCTTGTTACTCAACCATTTTCACTGGCATTTCTTCTGTTTTAATATTATTTGAGAACAGAAGTATATAATCCAGCATGAGTATTGTGGGTACATAAGGCAAAGGTAAGGGAAACTTCCCTATCATGTGCAGACGATGAGTCAAAATACTGTGGCTAAAGATATGATGACCAAACCACACTTTTCTACTATGGATAAAAAGGAATAAGTATTTGAGAAATGCACTTGTGGCTTGGGAGGTAGAGGAGTAAGTAAAGAAAGTAGACCATATAGTTTGTTAATAAAATGGAGAACAGAAAAATGACATAACAGCACTGAAATCTCCAAAGCTTGAGTACAGTACAGGTATTTGAATTATGCTTATTGCCAATGATATATGCAGCATTATAGTCTGCAGCTGGCTGTTGGTGGTTATCATAATCTGTAGCTATATGAATGATATGAACATCTGAGATTTGAGTGTGTCAAAACCAGTTTTGGGTAACTGTATAAGTTTAACACATGGCATGACTTAGTACTATACATAATGACATTTCTCTCTGCATAATCATAACCAGCCTGCACTACAAAAAGTTAAGTAATTAAACTAATGTTTTGTATTTTTTGTAGAATTATTATTTATATATTGTATACACAAAATAATTGGATATATACACTCTGATTCTGAATATACTCAAACATGTATTATATAATTTCTACAAGAAAAATCCCAAACAATTGGTGATAAACAGCCCAAACACCAGCTCTGAATGTAATGAAATGCATCTTTCTGATAAGAGTCCTGATGGTTACTAGAAGCTATCTTGCAGAGATGGCTTCCCACTACAGCACTGGGTCACATCTGTCATTGGAGTTCAAACTAGTTTTGAGTGAATGAGTTAGATTGAATGTACTCATGTATGAATGTAGTTATCATTTGTAGTCACTTGGCTTTTTTTTTGTGGGTGCTTTATTTTCTACAAATCTTGCAGATGTCTGTATGGTTTCCCTGACTTTCTGAATGTTTTCAGTGATCATAACAATCCCAGCTCTCTGCACCGCTATGTGGGGGCCAGGTTTTGGCACTGGTCCCTGGTAGGACAAACGGGACCCCAGTGACCAATGAGACCCAGCAGTGGGAAGTGATCTCTTCAAGGAGTGACCAAGGAGCTCACCTTAGAAAAGAACAAATTTTTAGTCAATCCAGATTGAGTTATAGAATTCTCTAGTTTTAAATTTTGAGGGAGGTTACCTTGAGGTGCTTCCGGGGCTTAGCGTCCCCGCAGCCCGGTCGTTGACCAGGCCTCCTGGTTGCTGGACTGATCAACCAGGCTGTTGGACGCGGCTGCTCGCAGCCTGACGTATGAGTCACAGCCTGGTTGATCAGGTATCCTTTGGAGGTGCTTATTCAGTTCTCTCTTGAACACTGTGAGAGGATTGCCAGTTATGCCCCTTATGTGTAGCGGAAGCGTGTTGAACAGTCTCGGGTCTCTGATGTTGATAAGAGTTCTCTCTCAGAGTACCTGTTGCACCTCCGCTTTTCAACGGGGGTATTCTGCACATCCTGCCATGTCTTCTGGTCTCATGTGATGTTATTTCTGTGTGCAGGTTTGGGACCAGCCCCTCTAATATTTTCCACGTGTAAATTATTATGTATCTCTTCCGCCTGCGCTCAAGGGAGTACAGATTTAGGCTCTTTAGTCGGTCCCAATAGTTTAGGTGTTTTACTGAGTGGATTCTAGCAGTAAAGGATCTCTGCACGCTCTCCAGGTCAGCAATTTCTCCAGCTTTGAAAGGGGTTGTCATTGTGCAGCAGTACTCCACTCTTAAGAGAGCACAAGCGTTTTGAAAAGTGTCATCATGGGAGCACTCTAAATAGTATCCAAATACTATATATCAAATTTATGGATTTGTCAAGATACCCAAATTTTACTACTCTCAAAATGTATGATATTCACCTCATTGTAAGAACAAACTCAGGATAATACTCCTGTTTATCATATTTAACAACTACAGAAACCCCATCCCCAGTAGAGTCAAATGGTGCACCTGTAGCTGGGTTGATAGGTGGCCTGGCCATTGAGGAATTTCCTGGTGTAATGGATCCAACTGCAACACGAGCTATAAACATATACTTTAAGCCAGCACTGTCTGCTCTACAATAACCATATGATGTCCCAGCATTTGGAGAGAAATAAGTGCCACGGCCATGAGCTTGACCAGAACTGGAGCCATGAAGTCTCCAGTCAAAGTTCTCTGCACATATGCTAGCTATCACGTCAGGTCGGGTGCCGTGAAACAGCTGTCTCACATCCACCTTCTTTATGTCACCATACACAGTTGTCATCTCTTTAATCTTATTCTGTAATGCTTTCCATAAGAAGGGATTCTGTACTCTTTCTATCTTTGTAATGTTTGTGTTAGCAATACCTCCCTTTAAAAGGCCCACAACTGTTTGATATTCAGGGGAAGTTGGTGATAATGCCACAAGACGAACACGTTCTTCTGGCTGCATTGGGTCCCAGGTAGATGGTAAATGCTCAGATGTTTTGTTGTCAGATGTGGTTTTGCTATTCACTTGGTTTTCATCTTTGAGGTGAGGTTCAGGGCGGCGGCGCACATCTCTCCTTACTTTTGTATTTTGGTTGGTTTGGGTCATAGTAATATAATCCAAAACATAAGTGTACTTTGCATTTTTGAATGTTAAAGGAACATGTTGGCTCTTTAGGAAGGACTTTTCAATATCAGCAGATGTAACACTGCTTACTAAATTAGTTTCATTTGCTGTATCAACTTTTCCATATTTAACCCAATTTTTTTTAATGTCTATAAAATACCAGCAATATATGCTTGGTTTAACTTGCTGTCCTGCGATAAACTCTGTACACAGTCTCCGCAAGTATAGTATTCTTGACTGGTCAGAATTAGCTATTATCAAAGACTGAAAGTTTGCTTGCCAAGTGTCACGACCCAATACAATAAGTAATTGATTAACTGATGGATTAAGTTTTGCTGGGTCCAGACGTGGAATGGTTACTCCATCATTAGCTGGGTTGCAGAATGCGTGCTCCAGACAATCTACCTGGAATGATCGTAGATTCAGCCACTTGCTTCCTTGTTCACTTATCTGCCAGTGGAAATGACGAGCAGCATGGAGTCTCTTGCAACCAGCACGCTCATACTTGCACGAATTCTCAACAGAATAATAGCAAATTTCATTTATTTCAGTATCACCATAGAGATAATGAGACCAGACTGTCTGGTATTTCTCAGGCTTCTTCACTGCTGAATGCTTATCTTGAGCAGTATCTGTATTATCCCCTTTGCTATTTCTTACAGGCCTGTCTGCCTTATCTTTTCTTTTCACTGGACTCTTTTGATCACCATCTGAAATCTCTCTCTTCTTGTGGTTTTTGGAATCATTCATGTTAATGTTTGTTACTGACTCTGCAGAATCTTGTTTGTCTGATGAACTACCAGTAATTTTTTGCTTAAGCAGAGAAAATATACCTGTATCATTAGACTTGCTATTTCCTATGGCTCTTACATCCTGCTGTTGTTTTGTAGTGATAGCAGATGTATTAGCCTGTATGGGTGGAACTTTGGGTGGTGTAGAAATTGTTGATGATCGTTTTGTTGGGTTTGCATTTGCTAGGGAAGGATAGGCAGCAAGCAGAGCCACAGCCACATCTCGCGGAGCTTCATTAGTTGAGAAACCATAAACTCTCAGCAATTTACTACACTCAGGATTTAATAAGTCATGATTAAGTTTACATCCAGGGAGAGTGCACTTTGTTAGTCCACTCAAGAAGCTGTGGCAAACATGAAGAGCATTACAATTCATATTATTGCAGCCATTCCCATTATAGTACTGGCATATATCTAACTGACCAATGGGTTTATCAGGCTTCACCAGGCTCTTCATAAGACTCCCAATGGATTGATATCGCAAACGTTCAAGGTAGAATTTCCGGAAAATGGCTTTATTGTGCTCTGTGAACCATTTGTGGCCTAATGCACAGTTTTTGTCTGAACACCAGCTTGTAACATAAGTGGGACACATGTGTAAGTCACTGCATAAGGAACGATTTAAGCACCCGTGGGGTCCAGAATGAGCAGAACAAATGCTTACTTTTGGACAAAGCTCTACAGTCTCCCCATTTAAAGAGAAGATCTGTCCATTTGCCACCACAACTTCACGTACAGCTGATGGACTCATGTTTTTCCATTCTAAAAGCTGAAGAAGACTGGCACGAAAATCAGGACACTCTGCTAAACAGTCTACCAGACTCCAGGGGCTGATCCTCTCGCTTTTAGCCATATGCGACCCTCTTGGTGAATAGCTCTCCTCATTCTGATCACTAAAGGCCCCACTTGTAGAATAGTTGTCACTATCATAACTATTATATCCATGGTTCCTTTGGTTGGCTCTTCTGTTCAGATGTCTACCTGTATTCTTTCTGAAATTTCTACCTTGGTTTCTCAAAGACTGTTGTTTTGGGAATTCTCTGAAATCAATTTCACTACTGCTATCACTCTCCAGTTGTGATCTGTGATTCTGGAGAGATCCTCGTCGATTGAAATTCCCTCGAGACCTTTGAAATCTGCCCCTACCACGGTTGTATCCTCTATTATTTCTGTCAGTTTCCTGGAGAAAAAGAATTCTCATCAATAAAGACACTTCTGTAAATTTCCTTTAAAGAAAACTGCTAAAACTAGATAGGTACAGTATTATTTTTTTTTTACTAAAGTCATTTCAATAAACAATATTAAGATTGTTTATATCTGCGAGGGCTGCCTCAGCTGCTTCCCAAACTTAAGCGCTGGTACTGTCAAACCTTAGGAAATCCCACCAGACCCATAACCCACCCTGATATACCAGGCAGGCTGGGAAGGAGGCAGGCAGGCAGGCAGGCTTGCAGGCTGGGAAGGAGGCAGGCAGGCAGGCAGGCTTGCAGGCTGGGAAGGAGGCAGGCAGGCTTGCAGGCTGGGAAGGAGGCAGGCAGGCAGGCAGGCTTGCAGGCTGGGAAGGAGGCAGGCAGGCAGGCAGGCTTGCAGGCTGGGAAGGAGGCAGGCAGGCAGGCAGGCTTGCAGGCTGGGAAGGAGGCAGGCAGGCAGGCAGGCTTGCAGGCTGGGAAGGAGGCAGGCAGGCAGGCTTGCAGGCTGGGAAGGAGGCTTGCAGGCTGGGAAGGAGGCAGGCAGGCTGGGAAGGAGGCAGGCAGGCTTGCAGGCTGGGAAGGAGGCAGGCAGGTAGGCAGGCAGGCAGGCTTGCAGGCTGGGAAGGAGGCAGGCAGGTAGGCAGGTAGGCAGGCAGGCAGGCAGGCTTGCAGGCTGGGAAGGAGGCAGGCAGGCAGTCAGGCTTGCAGGCTGGGAAGGAGGCAGGCAGGTAGGCAGGTAGGCAGGCAGGCAGGCAGGCTTGCAGGCTGGGAAGGAGGCAGGCAGGCAGTCAGGCTTGCAGGCTGGGAAGGAGGCAGGCAGGCAGTCAGGCTTGCAGGCTGGGAAGGAGGCAGGCAGGCAGGCAGGCTTGCAGGCTTGCAGGCTGGGAAGGAGGCAGGCAGGCAGGAAACGATATATGGGTGTTGAAGTGAACCATGAACCACGTGACCTTTGAGTGTGTGTGTGTGTGTGTATGGGTTTGGGGTGGGGGGAGAGGGGGAGGTGTATGGGTGGGGGGGGAGGGACCAGCTGACTCCGTAAGCCTAACCACACTCCACAGACCTGTGACCCAGATTTGTTTCTTAAATGTACAGTACATCATCATATATTTTAGGCAGGATGTGCCTGCAGGCTGGCAGGATGTGCCTGCAGGCTGGCAGGATGTGCCTGCAGGCTGGCAGGATGTGCCTACGGGCTGGCAGGATGTGCCTGCAAGCTGGCAGGCAAGCTGGCAGGATGTTCCAGCCAGGATCAAAATCTGACTCTCTCTCTATGAGGCAAGGGGAGCGTGAGGATCAATGCTCAACCCAAAATGGAAGAAAAACCTCCAGAAATTATAGGGACAGCAAAACAAATGACTGCTTGAAAAAATTAGGAACTGAGAGATACACATGGCAAATGATTGTTGCCTGGCATAAATATTCTAACCATGATGCGCCTGATTGCCACTAAACGGTAGTTCAAATCACAAGGATTCTAGCAGCCTGCCACCTCACATATTTGTTTGGTCACTATTCTGGACACACTGATGGTGAGCAATGATTTCCCTTCCTGGTCGTTGGCTTGCCCTGGCCTCGCCAGAAATACTCACTCCGAGGGTTTCAGGTTCCTACTCTACAAGGTGACTCCTCGAGTTACCTCGGTTCTGTGTAGAGTGTGGCACCTACTTTCAACTGAGAGGCCTGTTGATGGAGAATTTAGTAGTCATCTGTGTGCTTGTACTTAACTGTGACTAGCACTTCTCATTGTGTATGTTGGGGGCCTTGCACACTTACCATGGGTGTACTGTACTTGGGTCATGTACAAGACTGTTGTTTTTCAAAGCTTCATGTTTTCCCTTGCCAGGTGTTTACAGTTGAGATTTAGTGTCTGACCCACCAAGATGTTTCTCTTGCACCTGGCATGCCTACATGACATTTTGGGTAGCTATTTCCTTAATTCCTATTTATTATCTATTTATACATAAACTGTGCAAGAAGGTACAATGGGCTGTGAAAGTACGTATGTTGGTGATTATGTTTCTTTACCTCATCTGTGTTGTAAGTCGGGCAGTTATGGCTACCTTGTCTGATTCCATATTTGACTGTGCTGCCAGCATTCTGCTTAGTGTAGCAGACCCCTCACTTTGTGCCCCTGTAGGCTGCAGTGGGACTGCATTTGTGGTAGATATTGTGGGTTTGCTCCCATGATGGGGTGGCTGTAGGCCTCTGCTCTTTCTGGGGAATCATTTTCTCTTCTTCAGTTCTGGGTTTGCACCTTTGAGGATGGTTGGTCTTTAGAGTACAAAGCAGTGGTTCTGGCTTATCTCCTTGCCTTTGAAGTACTGTAAGGTGTTCTACAGGATCATATGCCAGGCTTTACTGCTCTGCTGGAAGTGGTCCAACAGGATTTTGGAGGAAGGGATGGTGGGGTAGGGGTTGTTGGCTGGAAGATTGGTTGGGTAGGGGAGGTGTGTGAGCATACTTTATGTTTTCCATAGTTGGGACAAAAAGCCTGTTAGGCATATTGAGATCTCCCTATGTCAACTATCTGCCATTTCCCAAAATGCAACCCACAACAGTTAACCAACTCATGGGTACCTATTTACAACCAGGGTTAGCCAGTGGTGATTTTCAACGATTTGAGTATGAAATTCAATGTGATACAACTAGCAAAGGATACAGGAACTGGGATATCACTCTGAACAAGTCTTTCAGTTAAAAGATCAAGCACAAGAGAAGATAAAACTAGTGAATGAACACTGAACCTAATCACCAATAACTGATAAAGTTTACAAGGAGCCACAGACAGGACAGTGACTTGACACAACTCTCAGTGCAATCCTGAAAATGGAGTAAAATTCCAAATCATCCTGAGCTGAAACAGTTCAAACAAATTACTAACTACTATCCTCCCAGTCAACAGGTCTCGCTCGGTGATGGAGTTCTGATGAGACTTGAACCCATTACGGAAGATGAGACTAGTGGTGAGAATTCTTTGCAAACAATATCAAGGAAGGAAACCCTTAAACTACCACTATGGTGATGGCTGGTAACACGACACAAATTGAATAACTTGCACACTTTGGAAATCCTTTAAAAATTTACTCCTATACATGGGCCAACTAGCCCGAATGAATGCTAAATGATCATCTTTGAGAATGATTTGTTTCCACAGAACATCATGTGAGGCATGACAGTCTGAACACCACGCTAGCAAGTGAGGTGGCCTCCTCACCAGGGCCTAATGTGGTAGTTAATTTTTTTTTTTTTGTAGTTTGGCACTTTCCAAGACATTACTGATGAGGGAGGAGCTATCAGGAGAAAGTGCCAAGCCATTACGACTGGCCTCGCCAGAAATACTCACTCTGAGGGGTTCACATTTCTACTCTACAAAAAATCAAACGTGGAGTTTGAGTGTTTTTTTCTTAGGGGGGTTACTCTTTTCAATGCACTTTTGGGCAGTTTGTCTCAGTACTGGATTTATTTCTGGCCTCCATGTATACCCCAGAGTGGGCAAGGGGGGATTTTCAAAGACCCTTATCCCTAGCGGGAAGTCTCACAGGTGTCAAGTGTTGGCTAGTCTGCATATTAATGGCCAGAACATAAGCAGAAGAAAGTTAAAGATGAGTGACAAAAACTAAATAACAATGTCCTGTTAAATAGAATATATGTACTGTATCACTATACTCGTATTTCTTGTACAGTACTTACCTCACACTCCTGAAGCTTTACAAACTATTGTTAACCACTAACTCACTGGCTATTAGAGGAATGACTCCTAAAGACAAAAACTTTGTATCCTGAACTACAATACAAATCTACGCATAATTTTAGTTCAAACTACTTACTGGCAACTGGTGTACATAGAATAGTGATGATTATATCTTTAGCCACAATTCCAGCTTTGCTACTTTAGCAACTTCAACTTTGCTAATGAATTTTCACAACAAATAAAATACTGTACTACATAGTTAGGTTACCTCGGCACTCCTTGGTCTTTCATGGGATGCTCCACTTTTTGCTATAGCCTTCTCAAATGGATCATTAACATCGTCTTCCCAGTCAAAACTCGGAACACTCCTCACTGAAAATGTAATACAGTACTGTATGTATTATAAGCTTCGTGAGGCATTGGAAATATATGAGAAATTATATTACAATAAGAAAATTTAAATCTAGGATGCAGTAAAGAATGATACAAGATTTGTATATTGTATACCATTCACTGAATTCCTACTTTAAACAAACCCCAGTCCAACTGAAGGATTTCAATTCAGTTAGAGCCAGATGGAATTTTTAGGTATCTGGACAATCCAGAAATTCCTGCCAAATCAGACTGACAGTGCTAATTCAAATATACAGAACTTATGGAATATTATTATTTAAATAACAAAGTTCATAGAGAATGAGTCCGGAGAGTAATGAGCATGTATAATCAGCAGGGTTTTGTTAAATGTTGTGAATCTTTTTCAAAGGAAATTAGTGCATTATTAACCCCTTGGGTTGCACCCATTTATACCAGATGATGTCCTGGTGCACAAGAGGTGTGGCAGGGAAGGGGGGGAGAATTCCATTAAAATTATTTTACTCTTAACCCTTACACTGCTACAGCCTGGGATGTAAATGTGGTTATTAGCTTGGGCTGGGTGAAAATATATTTGAATTTTGTGAAAATTAATATTAAATATTAAACAAATCTCCAACTTATTGGCTTCAGCGTCATGAAAGTTTCATCCCAATATTTTCAGAAATGGATTTTAGAATTTTTTTTTTAAGAATGTTTTGTTGATAAGGAGAACAGCTCCTATTAATTGGAATTGAGGAATAATGCAGTAATAAGGAGATGCAAGCACCTGTCCAATGCACAAAGAAGAATAGTAGTAGTTAAAAGTTCCCACAAAGTGGATATGCAGCTGGTGCTTTTATAGAATTGCTGAGTAATACATAATAACACAAATAATAGTGAGTAAGTATGTTATTATGCTCTATTTTGTTTTATACAGTATCATACAAATACAATGTTCAATACCTATTACTTTCACCAAAGTTCACAATATTTTTTTTTTTAGGGGAAATTTCTGTTTTTTGTGTTTTTTTTCTTCTTTGTTTATTATGTGATTTTGTTGTAACCTCTACAACTGGGAGAATGTATACTTTTCCATAACTATGTTCAGAATGAATTAAATTGGTCAACAAATAAATCAGTCATAACTAGCAGAACTTGGGACTTTGAATTTTTTTTGGCTGATTTTTTTCACAGATTTCAAACTCTATTTTTCTTGTTTCTGTAGATTGTTTTGATGATTAGGGACCAGATTAGGGCTTTTTGACTTACATAAAGTATACCCTAAATATATCCCCTAAATCATTATAATTATCCCTATATTTTGTGTTTTTGGGGGGGTTACTTTTTCTTGACTTCATTTCAACACATATTGACCTATAACTTTCACATATTCGAGTACGAATGCCAAACAATGTTTATTATATTAAAACATACAAGTAAATTAATGAATTAGAACTACCTTATACATTGTCGATAACTTCAACTTCAATTATCTCTAAAACTAGAGTTTCAATATTGAGTCAGCTTCCAAAAATTCAGTTTCTGACCAATTCTCACTATTTTTACATAGAGTGTGCACCGCTGTCTGTTCTACAATCACATTAGGATGGATTTTTCATAAACACTAAACCTTTTGAGTGCTATTTTGGTTCATATTTCAAATGACATCTTGATGATTTTTTTTTGCAGTAAACTAAACTGACAATCTATATTCTAAATCTATTAAAATGAAGATCATATATCATTCTGAAAGCATAATAACACCTAATGAACAATTGGCGACGTTAAATATTTTTGCAGCTGATCTGAAAATCTGAAATTTTCAATATTAAATTTTATAAATATTTTTAATTTTCTTGTTTTTCAAGTTATGTTGACGATCATTTAAACAAAGCTGGAGTGTTTGCCTAGTAGATTATGCACAAAAAAAATTGAAAGCGTTAGAACAAGTTTGAAAAATTTAACTTATGGTACCATTAGCCCTTGGCGTATATATATACTCCATGCGCAGTTTAAGGGTTAATATTGTTAAAATGCATTCCCTGATCACAGGAAAAACAAATGATATTATTTTGGTCATGGTGGAATGAGGAAACCTAGCAATAAAGTTGCAACTCACAAGTGTTCATGGAACAATTGCCCTGAGCTTGGCATGGGGCAGGTGTTAGAGCAAAGAAATTTTTACATATTTCAGATATTTTTACATATTTATTTCAATGTCACTTATTTATTTTTCACTGTTTTTTTGCAGTAATATTATTCAATTATGTGTCATTTAAGAAATTCATATAATAAAATGAGCAAAACATACAGTATATCCATGTCACTAATGTGTGAACAATTATATATTCTTTGATATACAGTAGTCATATGTGGCAGAATGTATGCCATGCACCCAACGAAAAGAAGGGACAGTCTGCTCACCAGGATGACTCCAACACCTCGTAACGCACTCAATAATAAAAGTTGCACTGAACTCAAATGAGACAGCGTCCATTATCGAGGCAAAATCTGGGTCACGTAGGAGGGAAGCCGCAATGGCCTCCCGAACATCCTTAAGCGGGATGTGGGAAGCAGAAAACCTCCAGAAGGGACCAAAGTACACGAGGGAACTGGGAACCGAACTCGGGGAGGAGCTGTATCCACATCAATCTCGTACAAGGAGGGGAGGATAAGAAAGCACCTCCCCCTGTAACAACAAACCCCGTGCCATGGGTACCAACACCCAAGCGGAGTCAAGCGAGGCCCAAGTCCCCCAAGACAACTCCTTTCTCGCCCTGGGATCTTCTATGTCAGGATCCGGAGCAGAGCCGACCTCCAAACCCTCTGCCCCTGAAGAAAAAGCAGAGTCCACCAGAATGGCTGCAAAGAAAGGGGGCCCGCTGGTCAGACCCAGAAGCCCCGGCAGGAGGAGCCGGCTCAAATGCCTCCGTCGCCGAACCGGATGGGGCAGCCCCCAAAACCCCCAGTCTCTCGCAAGCAGGACAACAACAGGGAAAGGACCAGGGAACACAGACGAAACCAAAGTCAAAGTAACTAACGCCCCCAAGTCTGGATCCCCATAACCAAAACGGGGCAGCTGTGGAGCATCCGGAAAGGCAACCAACCTAGTGCGCTGCAGCAACCTAAACCTTGCATGCAACACCGATGCTGCCTGCACCCGATCAACAGTATTATCAGACTGGGTGAATTGGAGAACCAGCAAGGAACACCACTCGCAGAACTCTGAATCAAAGGTGTCATCAACCCAACAGGCAGCATGACGGGAGGCAAAAACAGTGAGTGTCACCCTAAGACAAGGGGACAGAGCAACCTTTGAACTCCCACAGAGCGAGATGGGACCCAGAGGACGCATTCATTGGACCAATGAGCCCCAATGGGTTTTTATAGAGCTCTTAGGCTGACTGCTAAGGGAAACCCAGGCAAGGAACTGCTAACCGGTGACCCAAACAACCAAGAGAACAATTACTGTAAAGCTGAACTCCTGCGATGTGTACAATCACAGGGGCCTAGCGGGGAACCACCAGAATAGCAGAGGGTGAACTATGACTAAGGGGCAGACCCCCACCAGGCAAAAAACAAAAATAAAAGAAAACCCCTGCAAAAGTACGTCTCCAGGGGGAACAGAACCAGCCGCTATGATATTATTAGACAAGCTGCACAGTACCTTGCACCCCTATCAGCAACAATACTACCTCCTACCCAAGGTCAAACAGCAGCCAAGAAAACCCTAGCTGACCCCAAGGGCGGGCAATCACTGAACAACAAAAGACCCGTACGGAGGTAGTTCCTGAACGACTTGTAGAAAAGAACCCCAAGCCGCATGGCCAGTACTTACAGGGCACCTAGAGAAGATGACCCTAGGCACATGCAGCCACAGTACTTTTTGAATTACTCCTGGCTCGCACACAACAACACAGCAGAACAACCCTGCAAGGCACAGCACTGCTCAGAATCAGGATCCAGAGTTGAATGACCACCACACAACACATCAGCCTCAGAACTGAGGTTGGATGGTCGGTGCAAGGGGTGGTCTGGGGGCCCCCCCTTCCCCCTCTCCTGGGAAGGGGGAAGTTGCGTAGACAGGCAGCATGGCTGTGGGAGTGATGTCATGCTTGTTTTCTTGTTTTCAGATTGGGGAGTTCTGCTTAGTAGTTCGGTTTTCGGTAGCAATGTTTCACCAGTTGGGGGTCTGTTTTGGGATGCCTACCTTCTGCGTGCCTAACCCAGACACAGAATGGCAGACATAGAATGCTTCGAACCACATGGGGGTTTCTATAGCCCATTGCTCATCATGCCTCTCTGAGGGGACCAGGTTCTGGCTCATTTGTCCCCAGTAGGCTAGAACTCCAATCGAATTGACTGACACCACGGTCTAATATGCACATATTGGTCCCGGTATAGCTTCAGAGAGCCGGAGGGTTCTCCACAGAAAAGTATATTAAACAAACACAAATGCATTATCCTTAATACGTACTTTGTTCGACCATTTCTTCAACCTGTTTGATGCAATTTTTCTGGCTCTCTGAGATCACCTCCTGAGAACTCTCATTCTCCGTCAGTTCTTGCAAAGCTTCACTACTCATCTGTGATAAAATAATAAGATTAACATTAACTTGCCTCATAAAGATTAAAAGCAGAATTCACCCCTGTTTCTCTGGTTGAATTTTACAGCTAAAGTCACTAATGTACAAAAACTGATAAATATATGCAATTAAAATGGCAAAATTGCTGAAATAACAATGCCTTAACCTTAGCCTAAGTGAAGTTCAGCAGACTGGTTAGGTTAATCTACATGATACAGTATTACCCTTTTGTTACAGTGCATAATATAGGTCTGGAAAATTAAATTAAGTCAAGAACTAATGCAATGGGTAAAACTTAAGGGATTTAATTCTGTTCTTTTATGCTTTGGAAAACCATGTTCTATTATAAAAATATGCAATTAACATATTTCATTAACTTATTATAGCACAGTACTGTACTATATTTACACAAATGTAAGTAATACTATACATATTTGTTTGTCCTCTTGAACACAACCAGACCCTATCTAATGATGTTATTATTTTTCTGAGCAAGGACCCCCCTCAGTAACTCCAGTAAGCCACAGCACTGGGTCCACCTGAACCATGCAAGGCACTGAATGACACTGACCCATACTGCATAGAAGAAGGCACTGTACCTTAATTTATGAACAAGAAAATATATCAAAGCACTCAACACCTCTTCAAATAGTGTTCATTGAAATCTTTAACAGCCAAAATGTTTATTGAATTTACATCAAGTAATTACCACTTACACCGACCAGCCCCAGACGACAGCGGCAGCTAGGACTACCGAGCTGTGGGAGGTGGCTATCTGTACTTTGTGTCTGGCATCCATTGTGTTACACAAATTTAAAGATACTGATCAAGTGAAAGATCAATATTCTTGAATCTTGGACTCTATGTAGGGTGATACATGTTTTAAATGTTCACTGAATGTATAGTGTCTGTCATTTTGCCTGCCACTGAACTTTGCCAACTGCTTCAACTTAGTTGCTGTGTTCTCTTCCCTGGTGCTAATTGTGATCCAACAGAGTTGCAGTATCTCCTTTGAGGCTGCTCAGAATCCTTCAGGCTGAGCCAACACTTTTTGAGTCAGGCCTTAATCTTAACAGTGCTTTGGAATTAATGATGTTGCAGAACTAAGGCTTTTGTAGTAGGATTTAATTACAGACTAATGTATTGTATTATTTTGAGCAAGGTGCCTCATTAGTTGTTAATATGCCATCCATTTTGGATGGATGTTTACATTTTTGTACTTTATGAACTTTTGGCTTATTTATGCATCAATGTACATTCCAAGCATTTTAGCTTCATTCTGTGCTAAATATATGGTTGGAAAGTTAAGTAAGCATTCAACTTTAATGTTAAAATAGGTGCTTTAACAACCAGAACAGAAAAATGGACTTAAATTTGATTTAAAATAACTGTGATTTGTATTGGAAAGTGGTTATTCAATTCTACAAGTCGCTGGTGCATCCCATCTGATCAACTATAACCAAGCACAGAAACACCACCTTCAAAAGGACATACAGTACTGTACTTACATCCTGATCTTAGAGGAAGATCAGCAGTCTCGGGTTGGGTCTAGATTATTATTTCAGAAGTCTTAAGTTCAGAGCCTCTTTTTGTCAGTGATTTTTCTCACATGTGATCTCTTGAGCACCATCTATTGATGGTTGTGTAACAAACTGAAAGATTGATTGGAGAGTTTAGAGTTACAGTACAGTATCTTGAATTAAAATTTTTTTCCTTCTGATATTTGGATTCCGAAAAACCAGCATTTAGTTGTCAATCAGGTTTGAATACTTCTTTGCTTTCAGTATACTGTTCATTACTTCTTGTAACCTGATTATTATAAGTATAGTATACATCAGAAATAACATGGTTAGAACTGAAAATACAGCGCTTAATAGACCTATGGCCAATTACCATAGGAGGCCAGACACACGGAGACTGGGCATGTCTGGATACTAACATCTGACATCCCATGTTTTGTGCCATACATCATGGAAACCAGTGAGTTTTAAGATCTGATTTACATATAGAATGTAGCATGGTATTTCTTTTTTGGATAAGTGACCTTCCCAGGTGATCTGTAGTTAATTTTCCCTTCCAGAGACACAGATGGTACGTCATATTCTGCACTGATAGCTTGACACATCATCTTACACCTCAACCCATTCTCCTGTTTAGATGAGTCATTTTTGTAGCTATGTGCACCATAGTACAGATTGACATACTAAGCAATTAGAAAGTAGAATTTTTACTATTCACTTTATAGTAAAAAAAAAATGAAGCTAAAAACAAACTTAAATATTCTTAGGCCAAGTATAGCACACACATGTACTATATTAGGCCTAGGAAGGTTAGGTTAGGTTAGTTTAGTTTGTCTTTGCAATATAAGTAGAAAATAGTTTTCCGGGTCATCCAAATTCAATAGTACTGTACCCATTTCTACTTTGTAAGTGTTGTACATTGGTATATGTACTATGGTCCTCATTGTATTTATTTATATACAAGAAGGTACATTGGGTTTATGAGAGTACAGAGACTTGAAGTTTTATATTCTTGTAAAGCCACTAGCACGCATCTTTCATCCTTCCTATAAGTACAGTACAAAACAGGAGGATAGGCTGTACACCTAGTATTACTCTTCCTAGGTATTGACCTATCTGTCAGCCTAAACTTCACGATCCTACAGCTTCCCAAGTGGAATAGATTTTATTGATTTATTTTTTATTTTATTACTGTTATGTACAGTATTTATATATTTTATTTATTTTTATTAATTTATGTACACAGAACATTGGGTTTATGCGAGTACAGAGACTTGAAGTTTTATATTCTTGTAAAGCCACTAGCATGCATCATTCATCGTTCCTATAAGTACTATCAAAACATGAAGATTGGTTGTACATCTAGTACTGTATTACCTTTCCTAGGTATTGACCCATCTGTCAGCCTAAACTTCACGATCCTACAGCTTCCCAAGTGGAATAAATTTTGGTTATATTAGCACAGCATTGGCAGTCAACTTGCCACGGCAACTTTAATTTCCAACAAAATAGATTTTTTTATCATACAGGTCTTTTATTAATTTCATTTTATTTAATTGTATTTATTTATATACAAGATGTACATTGGGTTTGTGAGAATACATAACATTGGGCTTTGCAAGAATATACAAGCACCAATGTTATGTACTCTCACAAACCCAATGTACTTCTTGTATATAAATAAATAAAATGAAATAATTTAAATAAGAACTGTAGATAAAGGGACAGTAGCCCAGGGACGACCAACTCGGTAAAATTACATTCAACTAAAACAAATATTATGGCCTAGTTCCTGGTCTCCAAAACTTGCCACAATTACCCACAGGATGGGTCTGAAGTATCATAAATGACCCTAAATAATATTTAGATTTTTTATTCAGGTAAAGGTACATACATACATACATTGACTGGTAATCTATGTGCTGGGGCTGTACAAGTGTTTTAGTACCGTTTTCAACCTGAGTACATGGATTACATTATCTGTATCCATCATGTAGTCCTCCGCTGATAAGTTTCTCTGGTAATGACTTCATCGTCTCTTCCAGTTAAGGATCTTTACTATTTTGGAATTGTTAGGTAAGGCTATACTGTATAGTCTATACGAAAGTCAGGTTAGGCTACACAGATTATATGAAGGTTGGCTTAGGCCTTAAGCCACTAAACGCTGTGTGTCAGCAGAGGCTTTGCATGAATGTAAAAATACCAGTTTTATGTAATCTGAACCATTTTACCTTGCAAATAAATAAATAAATAAATATAATAATAATAATAATAATAATATTAATAATAGGCTATATGAAGGTTGGCTTAAGCTGGTCGAGTTCTTAAAACTTACCTTTAAACAGTAGTGTAGTTGTGATATATGAAAGTTTGCCAAGATTTTACTACTCCAAAGTTATGAGGATATATTTAAGTCTGACGTAGTACTGTCTTCAGGCTGCTGGTCGCCCTTCACGAACACTATATGTCCCACAATACACCAGGATCAGAAATGTCTGAAATGGCTCCAATGTCTTCCTGGTGATATATTGCCTCCATACACACAGGTCTGGGCTTGTCTTAAGGCTTGGTGGGGTGTGTGGGAGCATTTACGTGAGGGAGGGTGCGCGTGCCAGCACACACGAGGTAAGGGAGCAGACTGGTGTGGGTGAGGGACGGGCCGCTGGGGGAGCAGACACACCCTGGTCGTGAACAGAACCCGTCCGTCTGTCTATTCCCCCGTCGTGTTGGTGTCGCTCCCTCCCCCCCCCCCCCCTGCCACGGGTAATGGTACGCCTCCTTCTGCCCCTAGTAATGGTACGCCTCCCCCCTGTCTCTGCTAATGGTACAGTTCCCCCCTGCCACGGTTAATGGTACGCCTCCCCCCCTGTCTCTGGTAACGGTATGCCTCCCCCCCCCTGTCTCTGGTAACGGTATGCCTCCCCCCCCTGTCCCTGGTAATGGTACTCCTCCCTGCCCCTGGTAATGGTACGCCTCCCCTGTGCCGCTGGTACTGGTACGCCTCCCCCGTGCCGCTGGTAATGGTACGTAGGTCGGGATTTGCTCTCCAGTTCACTGTTTCATATATATAAGAGTACACTTTAGAGGATGAGCATTGACAATATAAATCTAACATATTCAAAGATTTAAGGGGCCGAGTGTTGTCTGGGGCTTGAGATATAAATATCCTGGCCTTTAATATGTATTTTTTTTCAGAAAGGTGGCGAAAATCGGTCTTTGAATTAGTTACTCCTATGTCCAACATGCTGCGACTTACACAATATTTATAATGTTTTAACCCAATATAATGCCACAAACGTATATGTCCCCCCCCCCAATTACGTTGCTGCAGTTGCATGAGAGTTGCGGTATAAACGTATACTGTGTGTGGAGTTATACGTATATGTGATGAAGTACAGTCGGGCTCGTTCTCGTCGCACAATCGAGAATTACGGGTCCGAATCCTGAGCGGGACAGAAATGGTTGGGCACATTTCCTTTCACCTAATGCCTCTGTTCACCTAGCAGTAAGTAGGATACTCAGGAGTTAGTCAGCTTCTTGTGGGGTTGCATCCTGGCCGGGGTCAGTAATTCGACCATGAGGGATGAGGGGATACCGCGATAGAAGTCTACCGTGTTTGAATACACTCTGGCTTCCTGTCCCCCCGACACAATGAATTATTCAAAATCAAATCAAAATTAAAATGTTTATTCAGGTAAAAGTACATACATAGAAGATGAGTTACAAACATAATGTTGGATTTATAGATAGATCTAGTACATACAATTCTGTAATTTACAAGACTGTAATACCTAAAGCCACTAATACTCTCAGCGTTTCGGGCAAGGTGTTTTGGGGGAAACCCCCACTTAGACTAACCGTCCTTAATACAGTACTAGTTGAGATTAAGGTATGAATTGTATAGGAAAAGGAAAAAAAAAAGGGGGGGGAGGAACATGGCAGAAATTAATTTATATACGATTAGGATACAGCTGAACATTTAATTTAGACAAGAGAGTTCTCTGAAGAATATAACGTACTTTATTTTATTGTGTTTTATTATTGCTGGTTACAGCTAGCTGATAACATTCAAGACAAGGCCATGATATGCGTGAAACTTTTTTTTTTATTAACAGACTTAGGTACACACAGCAATGTGCTGCTACCTTATTTTATATGAAGGATTACATAGTGTAGATAAGAATCTAGCTAAGAGATCCTCATTCCCATCTCACCGGATGGAATGGAATCGATTCTATTCCAATGGAATACAATACAGAATATATGGAATCAGGAGAGCGTGAAATGAGTCTGATCTATTAGCCAGCAAGTAGCACACTCTGGGAAGAGCACAAGAATATCTTCCAATATTCGTGAGTGTATGAAGTTGTTAGAGCTCAAAGTACCTCATACCATTTGGTCTGAAATCATTGATAACAGGGTTATCACAGATATAGTGTTGGAGTGTCACTGGAGTGCCACGTGTCGACACACGTGAGGAACACAAATGCAAACAAGCCTGAATGGTCCCCAAGCATATATGCAACTGAAAACTCACACCCCAGAAGTGACTCAAACCCATACTGCCAGGAGCACTCAGCAACTGGTGTACAGGACACCTTAACCACTCGACCATCATGACTGGACAAAAGATGATGGTAACTTTTTATTGGGTCTGACCCCCTAGTGATGCAATTTTGCAAGATCACTCCTTACATATGAGTATTATATGAGAATGTAAGGAGTGATCTTGTAAACAAGTTCACTTTTTCCTCTTATTTAGGTCACCCCATGCAACCTGTTCTCCCCTCATTCTGGCCACTCCATGCAATCTGTTCTCCCCCAATTCTGACCACTCCATGCAATCTGTTTTCCAACAATTCTGGCCACCACATGCTACCTGTTCTCCCTTCATTCTGGCCACTCCATGCAACCTGTTCTCCCCTCATTCTAGCCACTCCATGCAATCTGTTTTCCAACAATTCTGGCCACTCCATGCAACCTGTTCTCCCATCATTCTGGCCACTCCATGCAACCTGTTCTCCCATCATTCTGGCCACTCCATGCAACCTGTTCTCCCATCATTCTGGACACTCCATGCAACCTGTTCTCCCATCATTCTGGCCACTCCATGCAACCTGTTCTCCCATCATTCTGGCCACTCCATGCAACCTGTTCTCCCATCATTCTGGCCACTCCATGCAACCTGTTCTCCCCTCATTCTGGCCACTCCATGCAACCTGTTCTCCCCTCATTCTGGCCACTCCATGCAACCTGTTCTCCCATCATTCTGGCCACTCCATGCAACCTGTTCTCCCATCATTCTGGCTATCCCACACAACCTGTTTATTCTCGTATTTTGGCCAACTCATGCAACCTTTTTACATTATACCCTTATCCTGGATATCCCATACAACCCCATTCACTTTCTCCTCTTAGGATTTGACTAACGATTTATGAAATACCAATACATACTTTCATTATCATTATCCCATTCCCATCTGTCAAATTCTTCCATAGTACTTTTAATTTTTTGACATCTTCAGCACCCACATATATACTGTATAGCTAAAACATTTTCCATCTCAAATGCAACTGTATTACTTATTAAAAGACTAAAAATCAGGACATTCTACGAGGTGAGCGGCTGTTTTAGCAGAACAATGAAGTTCTGACAAGGTGCAGGTCAACGTTTCATTAAATGTTCACATTTAATGGAACAGAGCTCTGCATCGTGTTGTCAGGACAACAAATCTGTATATAATTTACTTGTAGTAGCTATGCATATATCTGTATAATGGTTGTAGACATCTTTGTGAACGACAAGGAAAAAATTAAGGAAATGGTTTCTAGTTAATTGAATAGGTACAAATGGTTTCTTCAGCAGCAGCATCTGCTACACTGAAGGCACTGAAAGCAACACCAAAATGGCTGGGAACCCAGAAAAACTAAACACCTGCTAAAATGAGATACAACTACAGTAACAGTGAATTTCCATCACTGTGGAATAAGAAGGGGTAGGACTCCTGGCCACGAGAGCACTACAAATGTCTAATGCAATAGCAAAAGAACATTTTGTTACATTATTACTATAAAGTTATGGAGTATGTGCCACAGACCTACAATGCCACTGGCAGTTTGTGCCACCCATCTACATTACCACTGTTGAACATTTTTTGCCACTCATTAACAATTCCACTGCTTGGCACTACCACCTTGCCAAACCAATGTTTATCTATATCTTTATTATAAATAAATTTGTATAATTTGAATTTGGTGTTACAAGATCTACGTTATTTTTAGCACCTTATTTATGACTCATAAATTTCAGTACAGAATTTTTTAAATAAAAAAAGATACATAAGTTTATAATTTATTATTATTCAATATTCAATATATATTATTCAATATCAATATATTATATCAATATCATATCAATATATATTATTCAATATCAATATTATTCAATAACTATAACCATGACAAACTGGGTAATGAATGTATAATTCAAAGAATTTACAAATGCTCCATTATGCAACCCTTATTTTATACACAGTACTGTGTGTGTGTGTATATATGTATGTATGTATGTATGTATGTATGTGTATGTGTATGTGTATATATATATATATATATATATATATATATATATATATATATATATATATATATATATATATATATATATATATATACAGTATATATATATATACACACACACACACACACACACATACAAAAATGGGGCCTCAACTTCCGATGCTAATTCGTTCCCAGAGACAGATCGGAAGTCGAAGCGAATTTTCCCATAAGAAATAAAGGGATTTGAATTAATCCGTTCCCCACCCTCCAAAATATTAACATAAAAATACATTTTATACTGAATACAATGTTTTTTTCTAACTACAATACAGTACCAAAGTTAATCTTACCTTTATGGAGGGCTCTTGATGGCGTATGGAAGATGGTGATGGGGGAGGAGGAGAGTTGTTACTGTTTGGGAGTCCCCTTCCATTATCACATCAGGCAGTGATGTTTTCTCTGGGGTACTCACTCTCTCCTACGTTTTGCCTGAATACCACTAGGACCTGGTTGTGGTTCAGTGCTTGTTTGTCTCACTACATATTTGTCAAGAGATTTGTTTTTCCATTCGTTTTAACATTTGTCTGAAATGATGCATCACTTTAGCACCCATAATGTCCTTTTTCTTAGTATGGTGGATATCGTTGACTGAGATTTGTTGTACTGCCTGGCCAGTTCACCTACCTGCACACCATCTCCATATTTACGAATGATCACTTGTTTCTGCTCTATGGTCATTCTTACATGGGATCTCATATGTTGAGCCTTACCACTGACTTTCCTGGGACTCATGGCGTATTATATAATAATTACTTTAATGTTCAAAATGCAAAAAATCACCACAAAAGCGGAATTTCTTATAGGTGCGATCGTCACTAAGCGGGTAGCTGTAGTAAACTGAGGCAGGTCGGACCGCATGACTAGGAACCACGCGCTCGGCCAACCCGAACGTATACCAACAAATATCGGATGTCGACGACACCATCAGATGTCAAGTAGCATTTTTCAATTAAATTTATATCGTAACTCGAAATTATCGTAAGTAAGGGCAATCGTATGTCGAGGTGCCACTGTATATACAGTATATAAATTTCTTTACCTCCATTCCATTGAAAATGCACTCATGAAAAATTAAATAATACTTAAATACTCATACAGTATTTGCAAAATCAAGAACAGGTTTGACTCGAGCCAGTAATATTAGTTATGTGGCTGCTCGTATATATCAGATTTCTTTATCTCACCATTAATGATTAAGGAACTTCTCATAAATAAAAGCACTAGAAATTTTTTGATTTGCTGAATTTTTTAAATTATTTTTTACCTTCATATAATTGTTAACTTAAATTCACAGTATTAAATATTACCCAAAAAAGGTTCTAATTAATACATTAAACTTAAGGTATACCTGAAAGGCTGTTTGTAATTATAGACTTCAATGAGGAATACAAAATTAATCCATATGCATCTATGAGCTAGTGTCCTGGTCACAAGGAGAACCCTTATAGTCAGGGCGCCCCATCATCCATCTGTCATAAGCTACCCACTTTGCTGTAGATGATTCATTACACATAAAATTCCTTTGCAATTCTAATCATACAATTCTCACACACACACAATGCTAACTTCAACTAGTTTCTAAATACAGTATTTAAGATAAAATTCTGCAGTATTAATCCCAAATATATACAAGCACTATTTATATATACAATGCTCAATGACATCCTCCTCATGGCTCCTACTGATTTTCTTATATATACAGTAATAACTAAACACTTCTGTAATTCATAATACCACAACAATACATAACTTGATAACTAAAAGTTTATCTTAACTTTTTCCCCATTTTAAGTCAAAGTTAAAATGTACTCAGGATAGTACTCCTGTTTGTCATATTTCACAATAATTGTTGGATTAAGTTGATTATTAACAGTGGAATCAAAAGGAAGATTAGTGGCTGTGTTGGTGGGAGGTCGCACCATAGATGCATTCCCAACGGTAGATGTTCCTACTGCAGTACGTGCTACAAACATGTATTTCATGCCAGTATTATCAGGACGACAGTAGTTGTAAGAGTAAGCTGCATCCGTGGAAAAGTAGGTGCCTCGCCCATACATTTGCCCTGTGCTAGATCCATGAAGTCTCCAGTCAAAATTTTCAGCACAAATGCTGGACACAACATTTTGCCCAGTGCCATGAAAGAGTTGTAAGATGTTAACTTTAGATGCATCTCCATAAACTGTTGTCATTTCCTTGATCTTGTTCTGTAATGCTCGCCATAGGAATGGATTCTGAATTCTTTCAATTTTCATCACACTGGAGCTCTGAATTTTCCCTGCCAGAAGGCCTACCACAGTCAGATACTCAGAAGACGTGGGAGCCAGAGCTACCAGACGCACACGCTCCTCTGGTTGCATTACTTCCCAGCTTGAGGGAAAATCATCAGTCTTCTGGTCCTTCCCCTTCTCTGTCTTCTCATCAGGAAGGTGAGGTTCAGGCCTTCGTCGCACCTCTCGACTAACATTAGTATTCTGGTTGGTTTGCGCCATGGCATTGAAATCAAGCATGTACGTGAACTGTGAATTCTTAAAGGAGAGAGACACTGATGGATTTTGCTTAAAATGTTTTTCAATGTCATCTGATGTCACACTACTAACTAAATTAGCTTCTCCGACAGTGTCAACATTACCATACTTTACCCATTTCTTGTTCTTGTCCAAAAAATACCAAGTAAAAGTGGCAGGTTTTATTACTTGGTTAGAGATTGCCTCTGTACAGAGACGACGAATGTTCAAGATCTTTGTTTTGGATGAATTGGTTAAGTTCATTGCTTTCAAGTTCGCATGCCAAATGTCACGTCCCATCAAAATAAGAAGGCCTCCAACAGAGATTTCGAGGGTAGCGGGATCAAGTCGAGGAAGGTCAACACCATCTTGTGAAGGATCACAGTAGGCCCGTTCGAGGCAAGTCACCTGACTAGGGCGCAGGTTCAGCCATCGATTTCCTTGTTCACTGACCTGCCAATGGAAGTGTTGTGTTGAGTGAAGCCGGTGGCATCCACTTCCCTCATACTTGCACATTTCTTCTACAGAGTAGTAACAAATTTCTGGTATTGGAACATCACCCTGTAAGTAGTGTGACCATAACGTTCGACGGATTTCCTGTTTTACAGGAAGGGTTTCAGCATGATCAGATGGTTTGTCTTGGCCAGATATTTTGTCCTTTGAAGTGTCAGTATTTGATTTTAGTGTTCTGCTATTACTGACTGATTTATCTGAATTTTTATCCTCATCTGATGATGAACTGTCACTCTTACTATCACTCTCAGATTCACTTTCTGATGAAGAATCACTCTTACTGCTGGCTTGTCTTTCTTTTTTGTGTGTCAGATTTCTGGATGCTTTCTTTCTGGGATTATTCTTATTTTTTTCAGTGCGTTTGTTAGTCTTTGTGGAAACTTCCTCAGTAATCTTAACTGATGTGTGTTTTTTAATTGTTTGTCGAGATGAATTCCTCTCCTGCCCACCAGAAGACTCCTCTTTTTTTGCTAGAGTAGGGTTGGCAGACAGCACAGCCATAACAATGTCGCGAGGGGACTCATTGGTAGGAAGACCATGAGTCTTCAGCAACTGGTAGCAGTCAGGACTCAACAATTTATGATTTAGTCGACAATCACGGCGGGAACATTTTGTCAGTCCCAGAACAAAACTTAGACACATGTGGAGGGCTCCACAATCAGACTGGTCACAGCCTCCTTCATTATAGCTGCTGCAAACATCTAGTTTTCCAGCATCAACTGGCTTTGACATTGACTGAATTAAACTGCGCAGAGTTGGGACAGGAAGACGATCCAGAAAGAATATTTTTAAAACAGACATGTTGTGATCTGTCATCCATTTGTGACCCAGCACACAATTATTTTCATGACATTTTGTTAGAACATAATTAGGACAAATATGTAGATCACCACAGGATGAACGCCTCAGGCATCCTTGTGTACCTGAGTGTGCTGTGCATATCTTGATTTGAGGCTTCAGCTCCAAAACTTCATTATTCAAATAAAATATTTTGGTTGAGGTTAACGCAATTTCTCGCACATTAGATGGCTGAAAACTTTTTTCTTCCATGAGCTGCAAGAGACTAGCAGAGAAGGTGCTGAATTTTGCCAAACATTCCACCAGGACTCGAGGAGTGAGTTGGATGGGTCTTCTATATGGTTCTTTGGGAGGAGGGCTTCCATATCCACCCTGATTTCGCCAAGACCCTTTTGCAGGATGCAGTGATCCTTCTGGAAGACGCCATGACCCTTCTGGAGGATACCGTGACCCTTCTGGAGGATGCCTTAACCCTTCTGGAGGATGCCATGGCCCTTCTGGAGGATGCCATGACCCTTCTGAAGGATGCAATGGCCCTTCTGGAGGATGCCATGGCCCTTCTGGAGGATGCCATGACCCTTCTGGAGGATGCCATGACTTTTCTGGAGGATGCCAGGAGCCTCTATTGTACCCTCCCCTTCTCTGATCCCAACCGCTGTAGTCATATCCTTGGACGTTCTGACTTTTTTGCTGAAAAAAAAAATGCACATTTAGAACACCTTTATATTTTAACACAATCTTCAATTAAAATAGTGATTTAATTAATCACCTAGCTAATCATACATGATATTAAGGTGATATTTTACATGTGAAATAAAGTTATTAATACTTTCTTGTATCCATTATGTCAACCTTAAGATCTGTTGTAAGTAATCTGCACAGACAGCTAGGGAAAGGGGGAGGGGGGACTTTTAGACAAGTTACCAGCTTCCTGTCCCCATCAAGGCCACAAGAGAGATGGTGGCCATCAGGTAAATTGGACCATAGTTTTTGAGCATGCTCATGAATTTTAGCAGCCCATCATCCTGTTTATTAAGTACTTATAGTAACAATGTGGACCATCGTACATATATTGACATGACGGACAAATAGAAAGTAAATTTGGTGCTATTGAATTTAGACAAATTGGACAAGGTTTTATATTTATGTTGCTAATAAAACCAAACCTAACATAACCATCCTAGACCCAATACACACTATCTGAAGCCTAATATAGTACATATATGTGCTATACTAGGCCTAGAAATAGTATTTGCGTTTAGTTTTTAGCTTCTTTTTTCTGGACTCTGTAAGGTGAATATTGCAAAAATTCTACTACACTTTCTAATTGTCCATTACATAAATATATGTACAATGGTCCATGTACTTATAAAAAGTACTATCTAAACAGGATGGGTTGAATTCTACAGGTAGAAAACAGAAATATACTCATATAATGATGTACAGCCTGAACATGTTTTTAAAGGTCAAGTAACAATGATATGGTAATAAAAGAATTCCCAGTGTTAGACTCACAATGGGATTCCTGCCTCCTCTGGGAGTTCCTCGGCTCCTTCCTCGAAAATTTCCACGCCTGTTTGGACTATTCTCTAAAGTAGCATTCTGTACTGTTAGGGGAAAGAAACACAACTCAGGGCATAGCATTAAAAATACTCAATATATTTGCATCGCTTTTCATATGGATAAATGGAATATCACAAATTCACAAGCTAACTACAACTACTGTAGTGAGATTTTGCTGTTGTAGTTGTGTAATCAAAACATGAAATCATGGCAGTTACTAACAATATTATTCGCATGTCATCTGACATTGTCTATTTCTCCACTTGGATATAAAGTTCAATAATATGGAAAATCATATTTCACAGAGATAAAGTTGTAAAGTGAACCAAAACATACACTGCCCTCATTGCCAAGCTAGTAAAAGCTCAGGTAAGCTGTGATCTGTGATCTGCTCGCACTTAAATGGCTCAATATCCATCCAGCCTATCTTTTTCAAAATCAGCTTTCTTTCTTGGGTCTTCTTGGAAATGAATGAAATCATCATCCTTTGCCAAATAATTTCTCACTCACTGTAAACACATCAAAATGAGAAAGGGTTGATCTAAACAAATTCCATGCCAAGATCATTAATATCTAACCCTTAAAATTTGTACTTAGGACTCTCATATGGTTCTTGACTTCTTGAAGTATTTCAGCAGGCAATGTTTTACCATCTCCACTGAGGATATCATTAAAGATTGGAAAGTTTACCATGTTTCTGCTTTTAACACTGACTTAATATTTGTAATTTCCTCATAAATGCCACATCCTTTCCCCGCCCCCTTCCTTGGTTTGAATCCCTCCTTTGCACTGACACATTAATATATATATTAAAATCATTGAGGAGACTGAAGATATTTGCTTGACAGAGGGAGCAATCTAACACCGACCATGTCATCATATCCTACCCGCCACGTTAACCCGCCGAAGCCATAATTGCCAAAATTCTGCCGAGCTTTAAAACCCAGCTTGAAAAAATCATCAGGACAAATGGGGGGCCCTTTGACAAGCCACCGGCTTCCTGTTTTCACCAAGGCCACTAGAGGGTTAGCGGCCTTCATGGAAATTCATGTAAATATTAACTGGCAATATGGGGAAGTGGGAAGACGTTCATATTGATGATCTGATCACTCATTAGTTAGTGGCCTTGCTACCTCACTCTGTACTGACAAAAGATGTTAGTTCAAAATAATGTACTCGCCTAGTTGTGCTTGTGGGGTTTGGGCTCTGGCTCTTTGGTCCTGCATCTCAACTGTCAACCAACTGGCATATAAATTCCTGAGCTTACTGGGGTTTATCATAGCTACATTTGAAACTGTGTATGGAGTCAGCCTCCACCACATCACTGCCTAATGCATTCCATCTGTTAACTACTGACACTGAAAAAGCTCTTTCTAACATCCCTGTGGATCATTTGGGTACTCAATTTCCACCTATGTCCCCTTATTCATGAACCACCCATGTTAAACAGTTTATCTTTATCTACTATCAAATCCTCTGAGAATTTTGTAGGTAGTGATTATGTCTTCCCGAGCTCTCCTGTCTTCCAGGGATGTGAAGTGCCTTTCACACAGCCTTTCCTTGTAACCCGTGCCTCTTAGTTCTGGGACTAGCCTAGTGGCATACCTCTGAACTTTGTGTGTTAGTGGCTTTGCAAGAATGTATCAATCACCAACATGCTAACTTTCATAACCCATTGTTCTCTCTTGTATATACTGTACTGAAAATAAATAATAAGTTCAAATCTAATAATTTGTTTTTAAACGCTCAGAGATCAAGTCTCGCACTCCCATCATATACTGTCCTTAGCTCCCATGTTAATATAAGAACCCCTGTTTTAGGGTATATCCTGCTGAACACATTAAGCCCATGGCTTGCTGAGGTCCCCTTAGACAATAACAAGACTGTAGCCGCATTGCAACCTATCCAGCTACTGACCAGTTTCAGCCAAACTTAATATGACCATCTGTGGAATATTCTTGTTAATTAGCAAAGAGAAATGAAACATCAGTAACATTTAATACCAATATTTTAAATAAGTTTCAATATATTTCCTATTCAGTCTTGAAAGACATTGAATGAAGTCTTAATTTGATACAATTGTTGTTAATCTTCAAAAAACTTTTTAATCACAGTAATAAATTAGTGAATGAATTGGATTGGAAATTACAATACATTATGGTAGTGGGTAAACAGAGAAAATTTCACATAGGAATAAATGCCACAGGAAAAGGCTGAAATTGAAGGAGCATTTGAAATTAGCTGTACACTTGAACATTAAGAGGAATAAAAATTATTTTTAGTGTATAATGTAGCATTATTTTTCGTTAACAGCAAGGTTCAATGAATTACGGTCCAAAATAATATGTAAAACTGGCAGATGTAAAATTTAAGCATGAATTATATGTGGGAAAATTGAAAACCCTCCACTGGTAACATGTATTGAAATTTGGGTGCAATGTTTATTAGTTTGTAATATATCATTTGATTTATTAAACCTAGTGATGGGATGATTAATCAAAATCAATATTGAGAATCAGAAATATCAAGCATTTTTCTGTAATCAGAATCAATATTGGACAAATCCACAAGGGCCGTGACGAGGTTCATTTGATGCATCACGTTAAGTGTGATTTCTGTGTGTAATGATTTCCGATTCTTAATATGATTCTTTAACATTAAATAACAAAATTAATTTTGTGTTTCAGATAATAATTAAAATTGTTTAAATAATAATCATTAACAGTCAAGTTCAGTATTACGCTCATGAAAAAGAAATGGAATGCAGGCAAGAAACTGTTTTGACATAACACTTGTCGGGTTTCAAAAATTAATAATTTTTTCTTATTCAGTTATACAGTACAGTACTTGCATCATGTAGGTTAAAGATGGCTTTTTCACTATAGACCAAAAATTTATTTATTTTTTATTGAACTACTTTTGCAATGTAATTTAATTTGAAAAAAGGATTAAAAATTGTGTTGTATTGTAAATTGTATGTAACATGTACACCTGTGATGGGTAATGGAATGTTTTCAACGTTTCTTATTTTCCTTTGTTTTGTACATAAAGTATCACTCTTTGAGGGGTCTGACAACTGAATGGACAGCGCTTCGGATTCGTAGTCCTGAGGTTCTGGGTTCAATCCCTGGTGGAGACGGAAAACAAATGGGCAGTTTCTTTCACACTGGTGCTATGTTCATCTAGCAGTAAATACATACCTGGGAGTTAGACAGCTGCTACGGGCTGCTTCCCGGGAGATGTGTAACAAAAAGGAGGCCTGGTCGAGGACTGGGCCGTGGGGACGCTAAGCCCCAAAATCATCTCAAGACAACCACAAGAGATTGAGTGAAAACCTATGCTTTAACTGAACTAGTGTTGCAATATTAACTTTATTGGAAATAAGATTAAATTTTTTATTTTATTTTATTTTATTTTATTTTATAGTACACTATAGTACTTATTAAAGCATGTACATCTGCCTGTACAGTATAATGGAATGTTTTAGCTTTTCTAATGTCTTCCATATGATTATGCTGAATTTACCAAATGTTTTTTATTCTTAAACCAATATATTACATTATTAATACATTTACCATGCTCGTAATGTAACTAATTAAATTTTCCAAACTAAAATACAAAAACTTTAAGAAAAATAAATATCCAATTACAGTATATTTTATGAAAGAATAAAAGTGATACACGTATCAGAATCATCATCAGTATCATTATAAATTTTAGTATAATCCCATCACTAATCAAAATGATTCTAAAATCAGCCACCACTGAGTTGCATAACCAAATAACAGTAGGGACCTTTAATAAGTACGTGTCAAAAGTTTAAATCTTGTGAAAATCACAACTAAGGTATCCATGTCATGGACACTAATTTATGCTGAAAAGCTGGAAAAATTGTGTGAAAATTGTTAGTAAGCGAGTTTTTTTAAATATTTACAGAATTGCTAACTTCAAGATTAGGCTAAGCAAATAAATATGACTCACACTGCCTCAGCATGTCAGCAACATCGTTAGCAGACTGCCGTAATTGTCGTTCCGGATTATAATTGGATCGACCAGCCATGCCCTAGAACCTGTCAATGGAAATTATCACCTGTGAACTTCCATATGCTAAACAATCTACACACAAATCACATTGCTTCACTCACCACCAGGAAAATAAAATGTAATCCCAAGCCTTCAACTGAAAAATATGTACTTCTTGTCATGAATAAAGTATCTGAAAGTACTGAAGTATCGCAAGCACACCACCTAATTGTGGCTTGGCTATATGCACCATTCAATGAATTGAGTAGTGTATAATATAATGACTTCTTTAATCTCATAGAGGAAAGTAGTAAATTTCCTAGGAAGGATAATACTAGGTGTAATATGTATCTGGAGACTGGCATGGAAAAGGCTGTATTGTTGATCTCCAAGAGCAAAAAATTGAGCTCCTTCCAAATTACCTAGGAAATAGCAAATTATATCGCATATAAAAAATAATTATTTTAATGCTTTCTGTTTTCCATGATATATGATATAGAACATGTAGGTATTGAATGCTGTCATTGGGACATATAGAAGGAAACTCATTATCCAACATGGTTGGAGATGCTGGACATCTCTTGAATTCACATCTCTCACCATCCCCATGATTCTTGGTCTGTTACTGGCCTAATAGGATCTGAAAGTACTGAAGTATAACAAGCACACCACCTAATTGTGGTTTGGCTATATGGTGCATATAGCCAAGCCAAATACTTGAGCACTAACCATACTATTTTCACACATACCTGGTTTACCCAGCAACACATCCACAAAAAACCTACCCAAGCACCCAGTGCAATGTCTGGAGGGATATTAAGGCCACCATAATAGCTTACTAACCAACCAGTAATTATCCATTAGTTCTAAATAGTCAAAGATTATAATAATTTATAATAATAATTCATTGTGTTGGGGGACAGGAAGCCAGAGTATATTCATACACATTAGGTGTAATGAGGACCCCCCACCCCCACCCCAAGGTCACATTACTGACCCAGCCCAGGATGCAACACCACAAGCTGACAAACTCTTGAGTACCTACTTACAGGGTCCCGGTAGTACAGTTGAGTTCGTTCTCAACGCACAATCGAGAATTCCGGATGGGAAAGAAATGGTTGGGCACATTTCCTTTCACCTAATGCCTCTGTTTACCTAGCAGTGAGTAGGTACTCGGGAGTTAGGCAGCTTGTTGTGGGGTTGCATCCTGAGTGGTGTCAGGATGCAACCCCACATCCTCCCTTCCCCCCTCCCGGGATTTCATCCTGGGGGGCAGGGGAGGGGGGGGGGGGGGAAAGACGTTGGATAAAAGCCAAACATGTATAAATACACTCTGGCTTCCTGTCCCCCGACACAACAAATTATTTTACTGCTAGGTGAGCAGGCAACATTAGGTGAAAAGAAATGTGCCCAACAATTTCTGTCCTGCCCGGGAATTCTCAATTGTGCGTCAAGAATGAACCCGACTGTACTACCGGGACCATGAAAATCGCATTTTCATCCTGTAACCCTTATGTTTGGGAGCATGCACCGATTCAGCCAGAAAAACATATTTGAAGTGTTCTGGGTTATGTGAGCTTCTTAATGGCAATGTTGTTATATAACTGTGGGCCTACACATGGTAAGCAGCCACTCTCTGAGAGCATATTCAACTTGTGAGTCAATGGTCCTTGTAGAATCCACTAAATAGTTGAGCTGTTGTTACCCCAGCTTTAGTTTATGCTTGTCTCATGTTCTTTAGGCAGTGTACATCAGCAGGCAGTGTACATCAGCAGGCAGTGCACATCAGAAGGCAGTGCACATCAGCAGGCAGTGTGCACATCAGCAGGCAGTGCACATCAGCAGGCAGTGCACATCAGCAGGCAGTGTGCACATCAGCAGGCAGTGTGCACATCAGCAGGCAGTGTACATCAGCAGGCAGTGCACATTAGCAGGCAGTGTACATCAGCAGGCAGTGCACATCAGCAGGCAGTGTACATCAGCAGGCAGTGTGCACATCAGCAGGCAGTGTGCACATCAGCAGGCAGTGTGCACATCAGCAGGCAGTGTACATCAGCAGGCAGTGCACATCAGCAGGCAGTGCACATCAGCAGGCAGTGTGCACATCAGCAGGCAGTGTACATCAGCAGGCAGTGCACATCAGCAGGCAGTGTACATCAGCAGGCAGTGTACATCAGCAGGCAGTGCACATTAGCAGGCAGTGTACATCAGCAGGCAGTGTGCACATCAGCAGGCAGTGCACATCAGCAGGCAGTGTGCACATCAGCAGGCAGTGTGCACATCAGCAGGCAGTGTGCACATCAGCAGGCAGTGTGCACATCAGCAGGCAGTGCACATCAGCAGGCAGTGTACATCAGCAGGCAGTGCACATCAGCAGGCAGTGCACATTAGCAGGCAGTGCACATTAGCAGGCAGTGTACATCATTAAACAGTGCACATTAGCAGGCAGTGTACATCATTAAACAGTGTACATCATTAGAAAGAGTACATCATTAGACAGTGTACATCATTAGACAGTGTACATACATTAGACAGTGTACATCATTATACAGTGTACATCATTAGACAGTGTACATCATTACAGTGTACATCATTAGACAGTGTACATCATTAGACAGTGTACATCAGCAGGCAGTGTACATCAGATGAGTGTACATCAGATGACAGTGCACATCAGAAGGCAGTGTACATCAAAAGGCAGTGTACATCAAAAGACAGTGTACATCAGAAGACAATGTACATCAGCAGGCAGTGTACACCAGAAGTCAGTGTACATGTGTACATCGGAAGACAGTGTACATGTGTACATCGGAAGACAGTGTACATGTGTACATCGGAAGACAGTGTACATGTGTACATCGGAAGACAGTGTACATCAGCAGGCAGTGTACATTAGCAGACAGTGTACATTAGTAGACAGTGTACATCAGAAGACAGTTGTACATCAGCAGGCAGCGTACATCGTGGGTGGGGGTGGAGGTGGAAAGGGTTACAGACACATAATGAGCTCAGGAACTGAACCCCAAAATTCAATTACCTAAACAAGTTATGGCTTTAAGACGAAAGGAAAACATAATTAAGCTGAAATACAAATTAAACAAAGGCCAATCCCCCTCTTAAATGTGCAAGTATAGTATTGCGAAGGATATTAACACTTGTCATTTGCTTTGAATGAACTCTATGCATAAGAACACTGACTTACCTAATTTGACCGAACTGGAGTCCCAAATCTTGAACGTTTTCCTTAATTGCCGCGTATCACAGGACCAGGACACCAAGAGTATATCACCAAGTGTTTCCTGGGACACAACTCTTGAGAGAATAACCAACAATGTGCTCCGAGGAGCAGCTGGTGGGCGACAAGGGAGAGATATACCTGAGCCTTGCCACCCTGGCCGCCCGTCTCCACAACACTGCTGCTGGACGCGACGCACACACGTTCACTTCTCACAGTTTTCTGTCGTCCCTCCAACCACTAACTCTCTTAAATTCTCTGTCCTCGCATGACACACTCCCTCCAACCACTAACTCTCTTAAATTCTCTGTCCTCGCATGACACACTCCCTCCAACCACTAACTCCCTTAAACTCAGTGTTGCATGACACACTCCCTCCAACCACTAAACTCTCAGTCCTCGCATGACACACTCCCTCCAACCACTAAATCCCTTAAACTAAGTCCTAGCCGGCAGCTTGTCGATGGTCCCCCCCTCCCATTTGCTTTGATCTTTTCCATGTACTGTATATTTTAAAACTCAACAGTTTTTACAGTTACGGCTTCGGCGAGTAGGCGGTTCCATGGGTTAATAACCCTGTGGGGTGAAAAAACATCTGTTCTGTTTTACAATGTGGCTTGTCTAACTTGAAACCGTTGCTCCTTGTTCCTGTTACAGCTGACATTCTGAAGAAAATATCCGGATCAACACCCTCTAACTTGTTCAGTACAGTATTTTAAGTTTCAATGAGATCCGTCTTGTCATCCTCTCATTATTCCAAGGGTTAGCTAGCTTTTTTGACTGCTGCTCCTACCTGTTGTGCAACTTTCAGTGAGTGGTGGATTTTGACTCCAAGGTCCTTTTCTTCATCAGTCTGCTGTAATGTACTAGCTCTATCTATGAATCCATCAACTTTTGTATTTCACCTTGTATGTATGTATTTTACCTGAATAAATATTTGTATTTGTAATGTTATTAATTTGGTAGTTGTGATGTGGGTTGTTATACCCCATATGCAGCGTCTTGCATTTGTCAATATTTAAAAGGATTTGCCAGTCTTCTGACCATATGTAGAATTTATGTAGATCTCTCTCTCTCTCTCTATATATATACCTTGGATGATGAGCAGGCACAAAACTGGTGAGAATGAATGGAATATTCTGCATTCTTGAAAGAGAAACACAGCTGAATTGTAAACATTTTATTTATTAAAACAAGACATAATAATATTTAAGTTAATATTGATACTGATGATATAGTATACTGTAAACCACAATTACCTGATCCTCTACTTGAACTTCATCATTATGGAATCCGAGGCCTGCTCTAAATTACAGTATGTTCAATCGCATCTTAACAGACACCAATATGTAGCCATCAATTTATATATTTATTTATTTATATGCAAGGTACAATGGATTGTGAAAGTACAGTACATAACATTGGTGTTCTTAAATTCTTACTACCAAATTAACTCCATGTAACCTACCTTACCCCAAAATGTCAACCCTTGTCTTACTACTTTAAACAATGTCTTACTATTTTAAACAATGTCTTACTATCTTTAAACAATGCTGTTTGTTGATCAAATTGTATATTTGCTATTTTCTGCCATGTTCCCCCCCCTTTTTTATTTTTTAGTTTTCAACACTATGTATACTTAATGTCAATTAGTATTAAGTTTTAGTCTAAGTGTTCCTCCCTCCCACACCTTGCCCAAAACGCTATGCGTACTAGTGGCTTTATGTATTGTATGTACTAGCTCTTTCTTTAAATCCAACATTATGTTTGTAACTCATCTGCAATGTATGCAATGCACCTGTCCTGAATAAAGAATCTGAATCTGATATAATTATAATTATAAACCCCCTTAATTATAGACCTGTATTATTGACAAGTGTAGTGGTAAAAATATTTGACAAAAAATAATTCAGATTCAGATTCTATATTCAGGTAAAGGTACATACATTGCAGATGAGTTACAAACATAATGTTGGATTTAAAGAAAGAGCTAGTACATACAAAACCTAAAGCCACTAGTACGCATAGTGTTTCAGGCAAGGTGAGGGGAAAAAAAAACACTTACACCAAAACTTAATACTAATTGAGATTAAAAGTATAAATTGTGTTGAAAAATAAAAAATAAAGAAAGGGGGGGAACATGACAGAAAAGAGCAAATATTCAATTTGGTCAACAAACAGTATTGTTTAAAATAGTAAGACATTTATATGTTGACATTTAGGGATAAGGTAGGTTACATGGAGTTAATTAGGCAGGACTTAGTTTTTATCTTAAACTGGTTGGGAGAGGTACAGTCTTTGACATGATTGGGAAGGTCATTCCACATTCTGGGTTCTATATTCCACATTCTGAAAAACTATAAGAATGAAATTAGGTACTTTTTGGTTTTACTTTTGAATACATTATAGGTTGGACAGTTTTTTAATTCATTAGGGAGTGAATTAAACCAAATGGGTGGAACACCTGGAGAAAAATTGTATGTTGACCAGACCACACACTAGAAATTGAAGGGACGACGACGTTTCGGTCCGTCCTGGACCATTCTCAAGTCGATTGTAATGAGGAGGTAGGGACAGGAAAAATTGTATACCTGTACAGTAATAAAAGACAGACAGTATGGTTTTCGATTTGGAAGATCCTGTATAACAAATTTAATTAATTTCTATGTAAAGAGATTTCTATGATTCAGAGAGAGATGGCTGGGTTGACTGCCTTTATCTGGACCTAAAAAAAACTTTCAACAGAGTTCCACATAAGAGGTTGTTCGGGAAACTGGAACACATGGGAGGAGTGACTAGAAGGCATCTAACTTGGATGAAAAATTTACTGACAGAAAATGAGGGCAGTAATCAGAGGCACCGTATCGGCCTGGATAAAAGTCACAAGTAGAGCACCACAGGGTTCAGTTCTTGCACCGGTAATACTCACTGTACACATAAATGACCCTATCTACCAGAAAGAATACAGAATTATATGAACATATTTGCTGATGATGATACTAGGGAGGATAAAACTAAATGATTGTCATGCCCTTCAAGAAAACCTGGACAAAGTAAGCATATGGAGCACCACTTGGCAAATGGAATTTATTGTGAATAAATGCCATGTTATCGAATGTGGAATAGGAGAAAATAGACCACACACAACCTACAAATTATGTGAAAATGCTTTAAAAAATTCTGGTAAAGAAAGAGATCTATGGGGTAGTTCTAGATAGAAAAATATAACCTGAGGACCACATAAAGAACACTGCGAGAAGCCTATGCTACGCTTTCCAATTTCAGAACTTCTTTTAAATACTGTACATGGATAGTGAAATACTAAAGAAATTGTTCATGACAAACTGGAAAAGGTCAAAAGACAAGCAATTAACTGACTCCTGGAACTGAAAGACAAGACCTATGAGGAGAGGTTAGACATTAAATATACCAAAATGAGAAGATACTGTAGAAGAAAAAGGTGATATAATCACTGTCCACAAAATAGTAATGGGAATTGACAAAATTGATTGGGAAGAATTGCTGAGGCTTGGATTTTCATGAACAAGAGGTCACAAAGTCAAGCTAAACAAAGCTGCCAAAGAAATATAAGAAAATTCACTTTTGCAAGCAGTCGTAGAAAGTTAAAACAAGTTAAGTGGGAAGGTGGTGGAGGCCAAAATCATCAGTAGTTTCAAAGCGTTATGCAACAAAGAGTGCTGGGAAGATGGGACACCACGAGAGTAGCTCTCATCCTGTAACTACAATTAGGTAATTAGTAACTTAGGTAATTCATATTGGCTTCATTTAATATATAACTCCTGTACCTCCAAATATACTTTACCTCTATAATATGCTCTATATTTATTATGTATATTATGAATAAAGTACGTATTATTATTACTATTATTCATAATACCAGAACTACACACATCAAGTCAAAGTTAAAATGTACTCAGGATAGTACTCCTGTTTGTCATATTTCACAATAATTGTTGGATTAGCTTGATTATTAACAGTGGAATCAAAAGGAAGATTAGTGGCTCTGTTAGCGGGAGGTCGCACCATAGACGAGTTACCAACAGTCGATGTTCCTACTGCAGTACGTGCTACAAACATGTATCTCATGCCAGTATTATCAGGACGACAGTATTTGTAAGAGTAAGCTGCATCCGTGGAGAAGTAGGTGCCTTGCCCAAACGACTGCCCAGAGCTAGATCCATGAAGTCTCCAGTCAAAGTTTTCAGCACAAATGCTGGAGACAACATTTTGTCCAGTGCCATGGAAGAGTTGTCGAACATTAACTTTTGATTCATCACCATAAACTGTTGTCATTTCTTTGATCTTGTTCTGTAATGCTCGCCAGAGGAATGGATTTTGAATTCGTTCCACTTTCAATACTTTTGAACTCTGCACTCTCCTTGCCAGAAGGCCTACCACAGTTTGGTACTCAGAAGACGTGGGAGCCAGAGCTACCAGACGCACACGCTCCTCAGGTTGCATTACTTCCCAGCATGAGGGAAAATCATCAGTTTTCTGGTCCCTTCCCTTATCTGTCTTCTCATCAGGAAGGTGAGGTTCAGGCCTTCGCCGCACCTCTCGACTAACATTAGTGCTCTGGTTGGTTTGTATCAATGTGTTAAAATCGAGAATGTAGATGAACCGTGAATTCATAAATGAAAGAGGCACTGATGGGGTCTGTTGAAAGTGCTTCTCGATGTCATCTGCTGTTACACTACTAACTAAATAATTTTTTCCTGCAGTATCAGCATTGCCATATTTAACCCATTTCTTGTTCACATCCAAAAAATACCATGTAAAAATGGCAGGTTTTATTACTTGGTCAGAGATAGCCTGTGTACACAGACGACGAATGTTCAAGATCTTTGTTTTGGATGAGTTGGTTAAGTTCATTGCTTTCAAGTTCGCATGCCAAGTGTCACGGCCCATCAAGATAAGAAGGCCTCCAACAGAGATTTCGAGGGTAGCTGGATCAAGTCGAGGAAGGTCGACACCATCTTGTGAAGGGTCACAGTAGGCCCGTTCGAGGCAAGTCACCTGACTAGGGCGCAGGTTCAGCCACCGATTTCCTTGTTCACTGACCTGCCAATGGAAGTGTTGTGTTGAGTGAAGCCGGTGGCATCCACTTCCCTCATACTTGCACATTTCTTCTACCGAGTAGTAACAAATTTCTGGTATTGGAACATCACCCTGTAAGTAGTGTGACCATAACGTTCGACGGATTTCCCGTTTTACAGGAAGGGTTTCAGCATGATCAGATGGTTTGTCTTGGCCAGATATTTTGTCCTGTGGAGTATCAGTATTTAATTTTAGTGATTTGCTTTTCTTTATAAACTTTTCTGAGCTACTTTTTTCATCAGATAATGAACTGTCACTTTTGCTATCACTGTCAGATTCACTTTCATCTTCAGTTTTGGATGAAGAGTCACCTTCACTGCTGCATTGTTTACTGTTCTTATGTATGAAGTTTCTGGATGGCTTTGATGCTTTCTTTTTGGTGTTTTTCTTATTTTTTTCAATGAGGTTCTTAGTCTTTGTAGGGACTCCCTTAGTAACCATTTCTGATACTTGCCTTTTAAAACACATATTAGATGAATCCTTATCCTCAGTTGAAGACTGTTCATCCTGAGAGAGGTTGGGATTAGTGGAGAGCAGAGCCACTACAATGTCACGAGGGGACTCATTGGTAGGAAGACCATGAGTTTTCAGTAGCTGGCAGCAATCAGGGCTCAACAGGTTGTGGTTTAATTGACAGTCAATATGAGAGCATTTTGTAAGTCCCAGCACGAAACTCAGACATACATGGAGAGCCTCGCAGTCAGATTGGTCACAGTCTCCTTCATTATAGTCTCGACAAACTTCAAGTTGTTTAATGTCACATGGTGACACTGATTGAATTATGCGTCGGAGAGTTGGGATAATAAGATGATCCAGAAAGAGTGGTTTTAAAACAGATATGTTATGATCTGTCATCCATTTGTGACCTAACACACAATTCTGTTCATGACATTTTGTTAGAACATAGTTTGGACAAAGATGTAAGTCACTGCAGGAAGAGCGTCTTTGACATCCCTGCGTTCCCGAGTGTGCCGTACAAAACTTGATCTGAGGCTTCAGCTCAACAACCTCATCATTTAAATAAAATATTTTGTTCCAGGATGAAACAAGTTCTCTCACACTAGATGGCTGATAGCTCTTTTCTTCCATGAGTTGTAAAAGACTGGCAGAGAAACTGGGAGACTTAGCCAAACATTCCACCAGACCTTCAGGAGTGACTCTGGTGGCTCCTCTGTATGCATCATGCTGCGGAGTATCTTCATATCTTCCTTGTTGTTGCCACCGACCTGTATAGCACCTTTGCCTTTGTTGTCCCCAACTGTTGTTGTAATGTCCTGGAATGCCTTCTCTTCTTTGCTGAAAATTAAATGTATCAATATGTTTACAGGGCATTAACAGATACTATAAGAATGGTTTCAATCAAACATAACTGCACACAAGCAAATGTGACTATAAAATTTAGTAAAGGTAAGAAACTATAAAAGTATATACAATTTTGGCTGTGTAAACTTGTGAATATGTAAGCTTGAAAATCTAAGAGAAGAAGCCATGCTTGGTAACATGTACAAAATTATTAAGCACAGTACACAATGAAACCTTATGGAAAAATACTATTATATAGATGAGTTTAAAAAAAAAATCCTTACAATTTGATGTTCTGATTAACTTCTAATACTATTATTTTTCACTGTTCTTCCAGACCTAGAAATGTGAGAGATGGAGCCCAATCAAAAGGAAGTGAACAACAGCAATCTAGAAATTGTGAGGGCTGCTGCATTATCTGCTCTGAATATAAAAATGTGTGGCAGTAAAGTAACTGTTACTGAATAATATTTGATCAATGACTTAAGTCAACAAAAGTGGTAATATAACCGTCACAAAAATCTGAGTGAGAATTTCTCATAACACGGCTCCTTATCTTGTTCTGCTCAAAATGTGTGGCAGCACTTACAGACAAAGATTATTAAAAAGACACTTATTCAAGTTCAAGTACATTTACTGAGACAATAAGATGCAATAAGGATAGAGTAGCTTAGGCAACTTCTACCCTCCTAAGACACTTATCTGGCAATAATATGAGCACAGTGAAATGGTCAAGAAATTTAAGTTCAACCTCAGACTTAATTAGAGAGATATTCCAAGTTAAATGATTTCCCTTGATTATACTATGTCTTATTAAAAAATAAAACCAGAAAGTACCTAATTTAATCTTCATAGTTTCCTACCTAGTGCCTTAAACTCACAGTGTATCTTGTGCTACCCACTCCCCCAATATATGTGCCTAAGCCATTCAATTTCACCATTGTAACTACTGCTATCATCTCATGTCATGGTTGTTATACTGACTGCATATTTTACTACAATATACCTATAAATAATCTTCAAATTATGCTACAATGTACCTGTTGATAATCCTCAAATTTTACTATAATGTACCTACTAATCTTTGTCAAATTTTCTTACGATGTACCTGTTAACATTTTTTAATTTTGCAAGAAATTAACTACTTAAAATTATCTGTTAGATTAAGGACATCAATGCTTTGTACTTTCATAAACCTAATGTACCTTCTTGTATATACAGTATATAAATAAAATAAAACAAAATATTCATATTATGCAAATACTGTACCTATTTAATACAATTTACTTTTTCAACATTAAACAAAAATGTTTAATGTAACAACAAGATTGATGAACGAGGGATACAAGTGAAAGGAAAACTTTATAGGTAGCAGACGTCTTGTTGCCTTGAAAACATCTATAGTTTTCAAGGCAACAAAACACACCCGAATCCCTCACTACAATACCAGTTCTTGCAGATTACACGAAAATCACTCATTTCTCACGACTACAAAATCTGGTAGGATAACTAATGGTTTAAGAAACTATTCAAACTACTTGAATGTTAATTTGGGATAATGGGAAAAACTGCAATATGGTTTGGTTTCCATTGTTGGGGACAGAAAGCCTAAAGTTAGGCTTAAAGGTACCTCATGGCCAACTGCTGACGTCTCTCAGGATGCAATCAACAACAATTGTCTAACGCCCAAGCACTTATTTATTGTTAGGGTAGCAGAGAATTAAGTGAAAGGATATGTGCCCAACTATCTCTGTTCTGTCTGGGGATCAATCCCAGGTCCCTAGGTTGTGAACCAACGACACAGACCACTCCGCTATAGAACCAAACCAAAGACAAACAGCAAGAATAACTAGAAAACAAAATCAAGCAAATGAAATATGGGAATGCTCTTTCAGTCAAAATTTTAAATTGAAACCAAATATTACCCCACAAGAAACAAGAAGTCCAGAGCATTAAATATTAAAAAATAATATCAACTTTCGAATCAAACAAGCAGTATCTCAGGCTATTTTTCAAAATGTTTATTCAGGTAAAGTACATACATACAAGAGGTGATACAAAAATTGATTTTTGTATCACTGATACAGAAATACAGTTTATTTTGACTAATAAAAGCTTTACACTCTGCAGTGATCAACTCAAAAGCTCTGTCAGAGGAGGATGGGGGAAATTGTGTGATCATTATGCAGGAACTATTGTAAAACTGAGTAAACTATAGCATTAACTTATTTTATTTGCATGGAACTGCATACTTCTGTATGCAGCATGTGAACTAACATGCTGCATACAGAAGTAGGAAAAGCAACATTCAGGTTCAAGCAATAATACAATTATTTTTAATTTAGATGATTCTTTAAAAAAGCAGACCTCATCCAGACTGTAGAGATCCCAGGAAAATGAAAGCTATATAAATGCCTAACCAAGCAAATGTAAAGTCCTATGCCTAGACAGTTGTGGTTCAGTTCTTGAACTTGTTGACAAATGTTAAATTGTGTAACTGTAACTAGTTTATCAAGGCTGTAATGTGCTTAACTAAGTATGTTTTAGGGTTCAGTTCCTGAGCCTATTATGTGCCTCTGTAACCTTTTACACTACCACCCACAGAATGGGTATGAGCTGTATAATAAATGAACTTAACTAAAAACAGAACAAGTCAATCTCTTTTAGGTTCAATCCTTTTAAGTCCCTCCTTTTACTTATCTTTGAGTAGTTAGCTTCAAGGAGCCGATGGGGCTCCCCACAGAAAACCCTTTTCTGGGTGAGCCCAGGAGGCTTCCTGACACCCTCCCTCCCTCTGGTTGGTGGTTTTCATCTTTCAAGAACTGGAGTGGTGGGCTGCCATCTCCCCCCCCCCCTCCCTATGTGCTGAAGGGGGTGGGGATGTGCTAACGAGCAGGAGTGCTAGTTGCATGAAGTGTTGCTTGTTGGATTTCTTTCTAGAGACTTATTTTTATCTTTTCAGATGTAGATTGCAAAGGTTAACCAGACAGTGGTCTGTTTCGATTTGCCTACCTCTCTGAGTCCTTCCCTGATCGATGGCAATTATGACAATCTTTAAATGTAAAGTGCTCATAGGCCATTGCTCCTTGTACCTCTCTGAGGGAGACCAAGTTCTGGCTCATGGTCCCCGGTTGGTATAAAAATTCCTGTGACTGATGACCCCAAACTAATATAGCACGTATCAGTTCGGATAGCTTCAGGGAGCCGAGAGGACTCCCCACAGAAAACTATGTATATATTTCCTAGCTGTACTACCTTTAACCAATTTAACAGAATGATAAAGAAGTGCCTAAATGATATGATGTAACTAATTTATAAATCTACAACATTGAATAGCATAAATCTCCTAAATATGTGAATTATATTTGCTGTTTTTTTTATGTTGTAAAAATATTATAAATGTAATAAAATTTACAGTACTACTTCAGAATCTTAAATAAAGTAGTCTACTCCTTAACAGTATGAACCTAGAAAACTATATCATTACTGTATAGTTGAACTAATTTTAATTTACATTAAATAACAATAATAATAATAATTTAATTAAAATACAGAGGATCAGATTACAGCATGGTAGTACAGTGGAGTACTTTATTTGCTTATTTTATAATGCTGCAAAATATGTACAGCATTTTGAGCATAACTTAAGGTAATGAGTGTAGTACTTACTTTTGCATTTTTGGGGTAATATTTAATACTACATTAGATGTAAGCTAATATATAAATCTCCTATTATAAAGTATTTCCCTCAAATATATTATCAACAGCAAAAAACATTAACCTTTAAGGTGTGCCTAAAATGCTATTACAGTATAAATAAACTATTATTATTATTATTGAAATTTTTCAATCAAAACTAGTTTGGAAACAAGATACAGTACTGTACAAGATGAATGTGGATTTTTTTGTGAAATGAAGCCATATAATTCCTCACGAAAGTAAACAGTTGGTGTCTGATGCAAATGATTTATGATGCCAACTCATCGGTTAGCTATATATTTACATTCAGAACATTTTAATAACATAATAAAAGCTTGCATTAACATGTAGACATCCCGGCAAAATTAATAAGGACAAATATAAATACCAGTATGATAATAAGTGTTTCACCAAATGTGAGACTCACATCAGGATATCTGACACCTCGTCTCCTGCCTCGGAAGTGAGCACCTCTGCTTGGACTGCTGTTTGACATGGCAGCATTTTGTACTGATGAAGAACAAATTGGACTCAATAATATTGTACTCACAATTATTCAACTTGTCTAACAATAAATAAATCTGTAAACATTGTTTTGTATGTCCTGCTGATTTACTCAAAGATGAGGTTCTATAAGCCATCCATTTACTGGCCATATCCAGTCACAATAGCGAGGCACTGAACTTTTTTTTAACACATTTTTATTTTTTTTAACACAACAGTTCAAGTTCTAGTATGTTTATTGAGACAATAAGATACATCTCAAAAGGATACCAATCTTCGTGGTGTAGTGATAAGACACCACCTGGCGTTCTGCGAGCGCTTTGTCATGGGGTTCGTATCCTGGCCGGGGAGGATTTACTGGGTGCAAATCCTTAACTGTAGCCTCTGTTTAACTCAACAGTAAAATGTGTACTTGGTTGTAAAAACGATTCTTCGCGGCAGGGATCGTATTCCAGGGACCTTCCCGAAATGCTACGCGTACTAATGGCTGTACAAGAATGTAACAACTCTTGTATATATCCCCCCCCCCAAAAAAAAAGATAGAGCAGCTTAGGCTATTTCTACCCTCACATTTTGATTTGAACCGACTAAACTTAAAATTTACTAACATGAGCAATTATTCTGCTCATTAATTTAATAATAATATATCATAAATATATTATTTATACACGTGTACATACCTGAATTTACCTGAGAGCCACTAACACTGTAGTGGGGTCATTGAGGACAGGAAACTGGTGACTTGTTGACGATCCCAAAATTTGCTCAGAGGATTTATTCCAGCTGGGCATTAAGATTTAAAATTTTTGGCATTTACAGCTTAAGCATGTAGGTACAGAACACATATAAAAGCATCAAGAGGAAGTGGTGATGCTATGGGCCAATAGGCCTTCTGCAGTTACTTCCATTCTTATGTTTTTATACCCATTGGTTTGTGTTCTGTCTTGTGCAAATGTCAATCACCTCACCCAAATGCGAGTATAAGTATGGATGTGTTTACAGGTTACAGTTGTGTGTGTAAACTAAAGTCTTTGAAAATGTAATAAGTTATCACGAAACGCGTTCAAGCGTCACGTCTGACTAGAAATAAAAATTAATTTTGGAGAACTGATTTTTCAATTACCATCGACAGTGAAAAGAAACATAAGAAATATTGAGAAAATTCGTGAGAACTTCCCATCTGGATTACTGTATTCACACATGGAGACCTCACCTTTAATCAAAGAAGCTAAAGGCAATATGAAAAGCACATGGAATACCATCTCTAATATCCTAGGAACTAAACAACACTCCCACAACCAGATAACACTCTCTAAGGATGGCCTTACACCGTCATCTGACCTAGAAATGGCGAATGAATTTAATAGCTTCTTTTCATTGATTGGTGCTAACCTTGCAAGTAAAATCCCACAGACTCAGACACATATCAACACATATCTCTCAGGCAGCTATCCAAACTATCTTCTCCTTTCACCAGTCAGCCCGACAGATGTTGTGTCCATCATACACTCACTAAAAACCAAAGCTGGGAACATCAGTGAAATCCCATCCATTGTATACAAGAGCGCCTCCCATGCCCTTGCGCCACCTATAGCTCTGCTGTTCAACAAATCCCTTGAGTGTCATACCTTCCCTGATATCCTTAAAAAAGCAAGAGTAACGCCAGTTCATAAAGGAGGTAATCCGGCAGACATAAACAACTATAGACCAATATCGAACCTACCCATACTATAAAAAATATTTGAAAAAATTATCTACAAACAGCTCTTCTCCTATCTCGTAAAATTCGACATTCTTAGCCCCTGTCAGTTTGGCTTCCGCTCCCAAAAAGAGTACCAACGATGCAATTATTAGTCTCCTTGATATAATTTACTCAGCCCTTGACAAAAATGAGTTTCCGATTGGACTCTTCATTGACCTGAGAAAGGCCTTTGATACTGTTAATCACGATTACCTCTTATGTAAACTCCATCATTATGGAATCCGAGGCCATGCACTGGACTATATCCAATCCTATCTTAGTGATAGACACCAATGTGTAGCCATCAATAATATAACCTCTCCCACTCTACCAATAACCGCTGGAGTGCCACAGGGCAGCATCTTGGGACCTCTTCTATTTCTTATATACATCAATGATCTGCCTAATGTCTCTAACATTCTGAAACCTATTTTGTTTCCTGATGATACTACCCTCATTTACTCCAACCCCAGCCCACATACACTAAATAATGTTGTTAATAATGAACTAAAAAAAGTCCACTTATGGATGTCAACCAACAAACTAACACTTAACATATAAAAGACCTACTACATCTTATTTGGAAGCAAATCTACAAATGCAATTCAGCTTCAGATAGACAATGTAAACATTAGCATTAAAAATGACTGAAAGTTTCTTGGCCTATTCCTAGATAAGAGACTCAACTTCAGTACCCACATACAACACATAACTAAGAAAGTCTCTAAAACAGTTGGTATACTCTCCAAAATCAGATATTATGTACCTAACTCTGCTCTCATCTCTCTATATTATGCACTAATCTATCCCTATCTCAACTATGGTATCTGTGCATGGGGTTCAACCACTGCAAACCACCTCAAGTCCATCATCACCCAGCAAAAATCTGCTATCAGAATAATATCAAATTCTGCTTTCAGGCAACACTCAGCCCCCTTGTTTAACTCCCTAAACATGCTAAACATAATCTCACTCCATAAATTCTCTTGTGTCAACTACATTTACAAAACCGTTCTTAAATGCAAATCCTGCTCTGAAACTCTTCCTGGACAGATGTAATAGGACCCATTATCACCCCACCAGAAATAAATATCTTTTTGATATCCCCCAGAGTTAAACTTAATCTGTGTAAACACTCTATGCAAATAAAGGGACCCAGTTTATGGACCTCACTCCCTACTGAATTGAAAAGCTGTCCAACTTTTACATCATTCAAAATCAATACTAAAAAGTACCTAATTTCATCTTCATAGTTTTTCACCTTTTGCCTTAAAATTGCACTGTATCTATTGCTACCCAATCTCCCAACCTTTATGTTCCCAATTTGAACATCTTTACCATTGTGATCATTGCTGTCTTCTTATATGTGCTGCCAATCTGCTGTATGGTGTTTATAAATCTTGTTTATCTGTATCTATTGCTACCCAGTCTCCCAATCTTTATGTACCCAATCTGAGCATCTTTACCATTGTGATCATTGCTGTCTTCTTATATGTGCTGCCAATCTGCTGTATGGTGTTTATTAATCTTGTTTATCTGTATCTATTGCTACCCAGTCTCCCAATCTTTATGCACCCAATCTGAGCATCTTTACCATTGTGATCATTGCTGTCTTATATGTGCTGTCAATCTGCTGTATAGCGTCTATTAATCTTGTTTAAATTACCAATCAAGCTGTCAATGTAATCAATCAGAGCTTTAATATAACAATGTGCTTTAATATACCTACTAAGCTCTCTCATATCATTTTTCTCTTGCAATGTATTTGTTATCATTTATCAATTCTGATAGAAATTACCTACTTAAAATTATCTGTTAGATTAATGACCTGCCCGAAACGCTGCGCGTACTAGTGGCTTTACAAGATTGTAAATACTGTACTATTCAATGTATTCTCACAAACCCAATGTACCTTCTTGTATATATATAAATAAATAAATAAATAAATAAATAAATAAATAATGTGATAGAAAATTTTTAACACAGAGCAACAAAAATTATCCCCGAACTAAGCCAACTTCATACTAGGAAAGGTTCAGGACCTCACGACTATCAACACTACAAACCAGGTATTACAGGCTGATCTCATTGAGGCCATTAATATACTGAAGAAATTTAAAAATATTTACCTGAATTACCTAATCCAGATTGCTTGGGGCAACAGCTTCAACCTCAACAAGCCACAATGTAGACTGAAAACAATATATGCTTTTTCCCTCATGAATAGAATAATAAACTCATGGAATCATCTACTAAACAAAACCATAAATGTCAAGATGGTACTATAGCTCAAAATTTAGCTAGAAAATATCCTCAGGGATTAGGAGAATGAGGGGGAAGGTTTGGAGGAGGGGGGGGGGGGCTTTTGACAAGCCACCAGATTCCTTTCCCCATTGAGGCCACTAAAAATGGTGGCATTCAGGTAAATTGTGAGGGAAAAATCCTTCATAATAAGTAATTTACACTGAAAATCAGGCATGACAGGGCAGATCTCACTGAAATTATTAAAATACTGAACAAGTTAGTGGATGTTGATCCAGATATTTTCTTCAGAAGGTCAGATGCAACGCAAACATGGAGCAACGGTTTCAAGCTCAACAAGCCACAGTGTAGGACCGAAAACAGGAGATGCTTTTTCACCTATAGGGTTATTAACCCATGGAACTGCCTACCTGCCAAAGATGTAAATACCAAAACTGTGTTGTTTTAAAATATACTGTACCTGGAAAAGATCAAGGCAAATGGGGAGGGGGAAACCATCGACAAGTCGCTGGTTTCCTGTCCTCATCGAGGCCACTAGGGTTAGTGGCCCTCAGGTAAATTTGTAAATAATTATAATTCAACAGTAATAATACTGACAGAAGAGACTATACAAATAGATATGACTCACACTGGCTCAGCATATCAGTGACAGCATTGGCAGACTGCAACAAATGCTGCTCCTGATGATGTCCCCACTGACCAGCCATCACCTAGAACCTGTTCATGTGGATTATAAGTGTTAAATTACTGTATTGTACTTACATACTGAGAAAATAGACATGTAAAACATATGTCTTGACTTGACTTTCAAACAAAACCAATGATTTTAATCCAAAGCTTTTATTATAATATCATGGACGACTCAAAACAAACCATGCAAGATGCAGAAGCAGAGAGAATCAAAGGGCCCTATGCAAGATGTGGCATCTAAAACCCAGATAAAACTTTAAAAAGTATTAAATATCAGTACGTACAAAAAGGTAATGTAGTACAGTTGGGTTCGTTCTCAACTCACAATCGGGTATACCGAGTACGATTCACAGGCTGTACAGTATGGTTGGGCACATTTTCTTTCACCTGATACACCTGTTGACCTGGCAGTAAATAGGTACCTGGGAGTTTAGCAATGGTTGTGCAGATGCATTATGGGGCAATAGTTTGACCTACAGGGAAAACCTTGAGTATACCAAGCCTGAAGTATATATACACAGGTATCCTGTCCCTTACATAATAAAATATTATTACACATACATACTCACCATCTTATATCAAGGTTGTTGAGTGCAAATTTTACTACAATATACCTAGAAATGATCCTCAAATTATGCTACAATGTACCTGTTGATAATCCTAAAATTTCACTGTAATGCACCTACTAATTTTCTTCAATTTTTATTTCAATGAACCTGTCAACATTTATCAACTTTGCTACAAATTACCCACTTGAAATTGTTAGATTAAGGACCTGCTCAAAACACTATGCATGCTAGTGGCTTTATAACAATGTAAAATCATCAATGCTATGTACTCTCATGAACCCAATGTACCTTTTTGTATGTATGTATGTATGTATGTATGTATGTATGTATGTATGTATGTATGTATGTATGTATGTATGTATGTATGTATGTATGTATGTATGTACGTACGTACGTACGTATGTATGTATGTATGTATGTATGTATGTATGTATGTATGTATGTATGTGTGTGTGTGTGTGTGTGTGTGTGTATTAGTATAATTTGGTAGCAGTGTTTCTTGTGAACATATGTTGTTGAATATGACCGAAAGGGTCAGATTAATGATTCTAACATGAATCTTCTCAATATTTCTAGTGTTTTTCTTCACTGTCGAGGGTAACTGAAAAATTAACTCTCCAAAGTTCATTTACACATTTTTATTTATGGTCTGATGCCTAGAGGCATTTCGCAAGAGACTTCTCACCTTTTCAAAGACAATTTTTTTTGTTAGAAGATTCGTGCTAGAATCATTAATCTTACCCTTTCAATCATATTCAACAACATACATATATATATATATTTTATATATATATATATATATATATATATATATATATATATATATATATATATATATATATATATATATATATATATAAAAGTTTGTGAGGGTATATATATATATATTTGAGTCAGTCTGGTGTTGACAAAGGCTTTAACAAAGCCGAAACGTTCACCTCCTTTCATATTTCTCTGTGGATTTTCCGCATAAAATGATCAGTGTTTTGTGATCGTCAATTGCATATTTATATATTTATATATATATATATATATATATATATATATATATATATATATATATATATATATATATATATATATATATATATATATATATATATTTTTTATATATTTTTTTTATACAGTATATATTTTTATATATATATATTTTATATATATATTTTATATATATATATATATATATATATATATATATATATATATATATATATATATATATATATATATATATATATATATATATATATATATATATATATATATATATATATATATATATATATATATATATATATATATATATATATATATATATATATATATATATATATATATATATATATATATATATATATATATATATATATATATATATATATATATATATATATATATATATATATATATATATATATATATATATATATATATATATATATATATATATATATATATATATATATATATATATATATATATATATATATATATATATATATATATATATATATATATATATATATATATATATATATATATATATATATATATATATATATATATATATATATATATATATATATATATATATATATATATATATATATATATATATATATATATATATATATATATATATATATATTGTAAATTTAAATGACAGTACAAGTATAATTGCAAACCTGAGCGATTTCAGCTGACAAATGTATAATTACACGAAGTCCCAAATCTTGAACAGTTTTCCTTAACTGCCGCGTATCACAGGACCAGGACACCAAGAGTATATCACCAAGTGTTTCCTGGGACACAACTCTTGAGAGAATAACCAACAATGTGCTCTGAGGAGCAGCTGGTGGGCGACAAGGGAGAAATACCTGAGCCTTGCCACCCTGGCCGCCCGTCTCCACAACACTGCTGCTGGACGCGACGCACACACGTTCACTTACACTTTCAAACAAAAAAAAAATATCAAAATGTTCATTTAGGTAAAAATACATACATAAAAGATGAGTTACAAACATACTGTTGGATGTATAGATAGAACTAGTACATACAATACCTAAAGCCGTTAATACGCACAGCGTTTTGTGCAAGATGTGGGAAAAAAACTACTCAGAATAAAGCTTAATTAATTAATACTAATTGAGATTTAAGTATAAATTGTCCAGAAACAGGAAAACAAGTGGGAAGTGGGAAGGGGGAAGGGAACGTGGCAGAAACCAACAATTATACAACTTGGTCAACAAAGAGTATTGTTTGAAAATAGCAATAGCTATATAATTAAATAGCAAAAGAAAATAGCACTTATCACCATTTTCTGTGGTCCTTTCAACCACGAACTTCCTTAAACTCTCTGTCATCGCATGACACACACTCTCCATATTAATATGTTTATTTGTGATGTGTGTCTATGTATGTATTAACACGTTGTACTGAATGGGGTGAGAATAGCTTGAGCTACCTCATCCCTTTGTGTGTATTTTACCTCAATAAACTTATTTCAATTTCAATTTCAATTTCACTCTCCAACCACGAACTGCCTTAAACTGTCAGTCCTCCCATCACGCACACTCCCTTCAACCATTAACTCCCTTAAACTGTCAGTCCTCCCATCACGCACACTCCCTTCAACCATTAACTCCCTTAAACTGTCAGTCCTCGGATCACAGACTCCCTTCAGCCACTTAACTCCCTTAAACTAATCTAAACTAAACCTAAATTACTAATCAAGCTGTCAATGTAATCAATCAGAGCTTTAATATAACAATGTGCTTTAATATACTTACTAAGCTCTCTCATCTCATTTTTCTCTTGCAATGTATCTTTATCATTTATCAATTCTGATAGAAATTACCTACTTAAAATTATCTGTTAGATTAAGGACCTGCCCGAAACGCTGCGCGTACTAGTTGAAATTGAAATTGAAATTGAAATAAGTTTATTGAGGTAAAATACACACAAAGGGATGAGGTAGCTCAAGCTATTCTCACCCCGTTCAGTACAACGTGTTAATATATACATAGACACACATCACAAACAATAAACACATTACCAAACATTTTGAGAGGTAAAAATATACATTTCCTCCTTCACAAGTAGTATGGTATCAGACGTACACACAAATACTTTTATGACCTAGGTATACTGTATAGACAATTTGCAAGACACCTGCAGATAATTCAACAAAATATTACAATCTTGGTGCAAAATTCTTATATCTCTCAAGAATATCATCAACCTTTCCGTTGTGACACATCCAGGCTATTTGTTCAGGAACAGTCCTTATCTCAGTGTTTCTATATACACTAATCAACGGACAATCAAGAACATAATGGGCAAGGGTGTGAGACCTTAACATACCACATAGTTTACACTTCGTGTCATTACCATGAACATCTATCCCATATGCGCGTACTAGTGGCTTTACAAGAGTGTAAATACTGTACTATCCAATGTATTCTCACAAACCCAATGTATATATCTTGTATATAAATAAATAAATAAATAAATAAATAAATAAATAAATAAATAAATAAATAAATAAATCTACATAACCGGCAGGTTATCACGGCACTGAACAAGTACTGTCTTTGTGCATTCTTTGTGTGCGGGGTGCGAGGGTGCGCACGCATGTACGTACACACACATATACACTGAACATGTGTACAACACGTGCTCGCTGCAGTAAAAAAAAAAATGGTAACCAAAACCTAGGAATAGTCAAGCAGCCCTTTACCTTCCAGGAAACGAAATATATTGTTATTCAACTGTATAATTCTCTGGTGCGCCCCCACTTGGGTTATTGTATCCAAGCATGGAGACCTCATCTTCAGAAAGACATAGCTTCCTCGAAGAACGTGCAACACCAGGCAACAAAAACCACTCCAATACTAAGTCGACGACTCTCATACCAAGAACATTTGAGGGCCACAAGGCTACATGCAACACGGCAGACCAGACATAACAGGGTGGATCTCATCGAAGCTTTTAAAATACTGAAAAATTTGGAGGATGTTGATCCAGACTTCTTCAACAGGTCAAATGTAACACGAACAACGGTTTCAAGCTCAACAGGTACCAATGTAGGGCAGAAAACAGGATGTGATATTTAACCCACAGGGTTATAAACCCATGGAACCACATGCCCGCCGAAACCGTAACTGGCAAACATTGCTATACTTTACAATTTAGCTCGATTAACTCACCAGGACAAATGTGGGCCCTTTGACAAGCCTCCGACTTCCTGTCCTCGTCGAGGCCCACTAGATAGTGGCCCCCTCAGGCATATTAATTATATATATATATATATATATATATATATATATATATATATATATATATATATATATATATATATATATAGTTGTATTATTATCTAATTATTTTCCACTGGTTTATTATAAACTTCGTGCATCATTTCTTTGTCAGTTTAGAGATTTTGGCATAATGTTGTGATGGCTAATATTTAATTCCCAATATCCATTCATGGATATATTTAATATTAGAGGCACTTTGTTGTATTTTTTATTGGCTATTGTGCATATATATACATCTTCATTTTATTGATGTGATTTTTTTTTTGCAGGGAAAATCCTGCGCGGGGTCTAAGCCTCTGGCTGGCCCACTAAGTGTTGCTTATTTCTGTTTTACTTGGGCGGAGTATGAGTATTTATGACTCGTATGGTCGCTTCAGAAAGATTTTGCCCAATGTGTTTAACAACTTCTGCTCTGTTGAATCTAAATTGAAATCTTATTGGGTTTGTAATTGTGCACTGTGTTAGATAATGTTCCAGTGGTCTGTCGGGCATTTCTCCACAGAGCTGACATTTCCTCTCATCTTCAGGAACCTGTAAGCCTATTTTCCATGCACATGGGTACCCAAGTCTGATGCGATGTAAGTGTACTTCTGTTGCTCTACTGCTCCCTTTCATCAAAATAAGTGGTTCGTAGTTGGTTGAGTTTTTGTACCAACCCGCAGATCCAGATGCTGCAACTGCTGTGTTGTGGTCACTGTACATCAGCTGCATTGTTCTATTTCTATTTACTTTCTTAATATGTGATATATAATATATGATATACACTGTGGTATATAAATGTCTGCATTTCTTTGCTTAGTTGCAAGTTTTGTAGCTTCGTCTACAATATCATTTCCTATTATTCCCACATGACTTGGCACCCAGTTGATAAGTACCCGACGGCCTTGACGTTTGAGTGTTTGCATTAATGATATGACATTTGTGATCAGCAGGATATTGTCATGTATGTGTTCTTGTTGCAAAGTTTCATTTGTAGTTCTTGAATCTGTATGTATGATAATATGTTGTCGGTGTTCAGCAAGAGCATGTTCCAAAGCCTTTTGAATGGCTAGCATGTTGAACAGTGTGCATAAAATGCTTGTAAAGAAGACTAAGTTTTATACTTTTTTCACATTATACCTACTTCCCCGTCCCACACATTACATCTACTTCCTCTTTTCACAGACTATCATTTTTCCCATTCCACAAAATCTAACTGCTTCATCATCTCACATTTCTTTATTTATTTATTTATATACAAGAAGGTACATTGGGTTTATGGGAGTACAGATCATTGAAGTTATACAATCTTGCAAAGCCCACATAGCATTTCGGGCAGGTCCTTAACCTAACAAATAATTTTAAGAAGATAATTTCTAGCAAAATTAAAAAAATGTTTACAGGTACATTGTAAGAAAGTATTAAAAATACACTGTAAGAAAGTATAAAGATGCATTGTAAGAAGATATAAAAAAATACATTGTATAAGAAATTTAACAGGATTAATAGATACATTAGAGTAAATTTAAGAACTGCTGTATATCACAGAACACAGCTTATAACCCTTAATAACTCACATTTATTATCTACTTTTTTCCATCCAACAGGTCACATCTACTTCTCCATCCTGTTGATTCCAACTACTTCTCGTCCCACAATTTATGTACTTTAAAAACCCACGGATTCTATGAACGTCTTCACCATTCCCATAAACTCTTATTGCTCTGCAGTCAATCAGTTAACTCCCGCATGATTAACTATGTGTTAAAAAACCTCTTATGAGTGCTCTTAACACTTATTTTACTACAGTGGGGACAGAGAAACTCAACTGTAAAATAATATGTATTAGAATAGAACAACAATAAGAATAGTTGGTGCGGTAAAAATATAATAACCGAGTGTAATGAATTGTTTAAAGTGAATATACAACAACTTGAAGAATGTTTCATGGCTAATATTAAACACTGGACATTCATGAAGTGTTTTGTAAGATGACAAAAGATACATAAATTCAAATTAGTGAAAGCGATTGAACATTATCTCAGGAAAATGTTACAATGTTTAGACAGCTAAACCTTTTGAGGAATTACATTCTTCAAAGCCCTAGCCATTTACTACCACAGTCAACAGCTACACTTCACAATTCAAAATCTTCATCCATCACCACAACTAATTACCTTACTACGTCATTCAAAGTGATCATCTCTCATCATCACAGTTAATAACCTTCACAATTTAAAATCCTTACTCGCCACCACAGCTTATAACAAATGTAACACACAAAACCACAAACATCAGCCCAAACAAGAATGTCTACTATACAAGGGATCTTCTTGAGGTTATCTTCAGATGATTTCGGGGTTTAGTGTCCCCGCGGCCCGGTCCTCGACCAGGCCTTCACCCCCAGGAAGCAGCCCGTGACAGTTGACTAACTCCCAGGTATCTATTTACTGCTAGGCAACTGGAGCATCAGGGTGAAAGAAATTCTGCCCATTGTTTCTCTCCGGCGCCCGGGATTGAACCCGGGACCACAGGATCACGCGCCCAGTGTTCTGTCTGCTCAGCCGCCAGCTCCCTGGGGATGTCCACACATTTAACGTGACCATTCACCATTACCAGGTCATCTCCACAATGCCTCACAAGAGCTCAAACTTGGCCTCAGTTAGTGATGCTTCAAACTGCTTGCCCATCAAGAAGCAACACATACACACTCTTATGAAAATAGACAAAGCATTCATATAATTTTGCCACAGGAGACAATCTGTTCTATGATATAGTAATTACATATGTGGCGAATAAAGGTTATTATTTTTTCATAAATGTATACATTTTAATTCCTAAGTACACTTACTGATTCACTTTAGCACAATTATATAGTCAGGATAACAGTCTCGTTTATCATGCTTGACAATAATGGAAGGATTGGCTTCATTGTTGACGTATGAGTCAAACGGCAGGCCAGTGGCATAGTTTATTGGTGGCTCGGTCATAAGAATTCTACCTGGTGTCACACACCCTACGGCCACTAGTGCCATAATCAGATACTTCTTGCCATCGCTATCAGCACTACAGAACTTATAAGAATAATTAGCATTTGTTGAGAAATAAGATCCCCGACCAAGTCTACCTATTTTGGACTCACGTAGTCGCCAATCGAAATTCTCATGACAGATAGTGGCCACAACTTCAGGGCGTGTGTCGTGAAACAACTGTCGAAGGTCTACTTTCGTGTCGCTTCCATACGTAATCACCATTTGTTTTACTTTGTTTTGAAATGCTTGCCATAAACAAGGATTCTGAATTCGCTTTATTTCTACCAAACTGGAGGTGGGTATTTTGCTTGAAAGTAGTTTCACGACAGTTTGGTATTCAGTAGACAAGGAAGACAGTGTCACTAGACGCACTTGTTCTCCTGGCTGCATAGCGTCCCAGTGTGATGGAGGGTTATTGGGCATGTTTTGGTCGGTGACCATTTCAGGTGGAAGATGCGCTTCAGGGCGCCGGATCACAGGACGAGATGTCTTAGTCATCTTATTTATTTGTACCATCTTGGTAAAGTTTAAAATGTATGCGAATTTTGAGTTTTTGAAAATAAGAGGAACAGATGGGTTCTGAAGGTAGTGATTCTCGATGTGATCTGAAGTTATATTACTCACAAAGTGTGTTTGCCCTGAAGTATCTGCTTTGCCATACGGAATCCAACTGTTGTAATTATCCAGAAAATACCAGACATAGCAGGAAGGTTTTATTATTTGACCAGACACTGCCTCTGTACAAAGCCGGCGGATGTGCAGGGTCGTTGTTTTCAACGAGTTAGTTAAGATCATCTCTCTGAAATTTGCATGCCAAGTTTCTTGACCCATCAGGATATGAAGACCCCTAATACACATGTCAAGGGAGGCTGCATCATGCTGAGGAAGATCTACACCTTCATGGGAAGGGTCACAGTAAGCCTTCTCCAGACAAATTACTTGGCTCAGACCTAGGTTCAACCATCTACTTCCTTGTACACTGACTTGCCAGTGGAAGTGTCGTGTTGAGTGAAGTCGCTGGCAACCACTTCCCTCATACTTGCACAACTCCTTTACAGAGTAGTAACAAATTTCTGGTATTGGAACATTGCCTTCTAAATTGTGTGACCAAATTGTTGCATGGATGATCTTGGTACTTTTTGTTTTGGTAGCATCTACAGCATTGTGAAGTGATAATTTAGCATTATCCTTCAACAATGATACATGCTTGCCTGATTTTGAAGACTGATTATGGTCTTCTTTATTGCATGAGATGTGTCCTTTGTTTGTCAGTATGCTGTGTTGGTTTTTACTTTCATCAGAAAAACATTTAGTTTCAGTGGATGTGTCTTCCTTATTGGCATTCAACTTATCTGGGTTTCGAGTATAATTTTCTACTGAAGCCTTGTGTTTTCCTTTGCCAGTGTTTTTATCAGTTTTTCTTTCAATTTTATTTTCATTTTTTAGCAGATACACTTTTACCTTGTTCTTTTTGTCCTGCACATCTGCGGACTGCTGTTCCCGGGAGAGGGAGGGGTTGGCAGAGATTAGAGCCACCACAATGTTACGTTGGCGCTCATTTGTAGGGAGACCATGTGCTCTCAGCAGCTGGCAGCAGTCAGGCCTCTGTAGGTTGTGGTTCAGTTGACAGTCATCAACAGAACATTTTGAGAGCCCTAATACGAAGCTCATACACACATGAAGAGCCCCACAGTCAGACCGGTTGCAGAATCCTTCATTGTAGCCACGACAAACATTCAGCCGGCCTACAGATTGGAAACTCTTCTTTTCTGGTTGTAGGAGCTTGGCAAGTATTCGGGAAGGAAGCCAGTCTATAAAGAGTAGCTGAAGAATACCCTTATTGTGTTTATCTAGCCATTTGTGACCCAGAGTACACATCTTGTCAGGGCAGGAGTTTGTGACATAACCAGGACATATATGCAAAGCAGTGCATAAAGAACCCTCCCAGCACCCCTGAGGGCTTGAGTGAGCTGCACAGATCTTAACTTGGGGTTTAAGCTCTACAACACCGTTGTTTAATGAAAAAGTTTTCTTGTACTTTAATGCTATATTTTGCACATTCGTTGGAAAGAGATCCTTATCTTCCAAAAGTTCAAGTAAATTTGCAGAAAATTTTGGGTATCCTACCAAGTAATCAACAAGAAGGCGAGGGGTGAGCTGAACACTTTCCATATCTTCATCATACTGAGTGTTTTTATAAGAATAAAGTCCATTCCAGTTGTATCTTGGGGGCTCATTACAACCAGAATGACGCCGCCAGTTATCCTCTTCCTGGTCTCGAGAGCCTCGAGAGCGAGACCACTGCTGCTGGGGCTGGCCGGGGAAACTGGAGGGAGACCTTTGCCAGTGTTCAGTGTCCTTTTGTGATGCCCAGCTATCTTCGTCTTTGTTGCAACTGTCCGTTGCATCCTGCAAAGGTAAAACAATTTTAGATCATTTCTATCTTACATTTCAAATTAACAACTACCAAATTCCTTGACGGATAACAAATGGATTTTCATATAGCATTATAATATTGTTCTCTTGGTCCACCACAGTCTTGCTCAATATTTTAGCAACAGTCATTTACACAATCCAATACTTTAAATTTCAGGCATGTAATTGCCCGGTTACATGACTGTTACTACCTAACAGTAAGCAATAAATAAACATATATTAATGATCATTTGTATTTTTCTAGATAATTGTTGGGGAAGAAAAATTTCCAGAACTTGAAGGTCCTATGACATAGACAGGAACTCAGAGACCAAACTACCAGACTTTAGTTGCTCAGTCTTACCTTAGGATTCTTGTTCTCAGTGCAGTCATCCAGCTTGGTGCTCTGAGAATTGCTTTGCCTTTTCTTCATTACTTCTTCAACCCCTTGAATAAGAATTTAGGAATAAAACTTATGCATAACAGATTTAACAAAGTTTAAGTTAAAAATTTAAACCCTCATTTTAAGTCTTAGAGTACAATTTATGCCAATATTAGTGTTAACACTTTGTGTTAATTTTTAGACCATATTCAGGAAGCAGGGAGGAATCATATGCAGTCTCTAGAAAGAACGTGATTAATTCGTTTCTTAATACTTATGCTTTACTATGATTTGAATGTGACTTACACGTAGTGTCAAAAGTTTTATTATCCAGTAGATACTGGGCGAGAGTGGGGTTGTGGGTTAGTAGAGCCATCACAATGTCCCGCGGAGCCTCGTTGGTCGACAGGCCATGAGCCCTCAGCAGCCTACTACAGTCAGGACTCAGAAGGTCGTGGTTTAGTTGACAATCACGAGGGCATTTTTGGAGTCCCACCAGGATGCTGAGACACACATGGAGAGCCTCACAGTCAGAGAGATCGCAGCCTTTGCTAATGTAGCCGTGGCACACATCCAGTTGGTCAACTTGGTCCACAGTCTCTAAGGTTTTCTTCATGGATGATCTGAAGATCTTCTGAAGTGTAATAAACATGAGGTGCTCGAGGAACAGACGCGACAGAACATACTTGTTATGATCTGTGCACCAGCTGTGACTCAGCTTACAGTTTTTGGCACTGCATCCATCCTTAACAAACTTTGGGCAAATATGTACATCATTGCAAGAATTTTTTTTACATTTCTTTGATTTTGAGTAGGCAGAGCAGATACCGATTTGAGGCTTCAACTTTACAAGAGTCCCATTAAAGGAAAATATTTCCCCATTGTTTGAAATAGTTTCTTCCACACTTGAAGGCTCAAGTAGTTTTTCATACTCGAGCTCTTGGAGGCTGGCACTGAGATCCGGAAATTCAGCCAAGGTGCTGACAAGAAGACGAGGTGTGGCGTGGTGGAGAGTCTCCCCACTTGTTTGGTATCTCTCGCTTGTCGCCCAGTAGTCGGTGGTGGTGGTGGGCCAGCGCTGTGCTGAGTCTCCACTCCTCCAAGCCCTCCTGCTGCTGCTAGTACTTCTAGCCTGGAACACAAATACTGTTATTAAGATAAGTCTAAACCTATCCCGAAATGCTAATTTATAATATTAGTTACTCAAACAAATGTTTTTCGAGATTTGAAATAGAAACTGAGCATAGTTAGTTACCTCATAGTTACCACATAGTATTAAGATACTTGGTGGTAATATTAACATTTAACAGAGAGCAACTTGGTTCATTGTGACAAGGTAAGAACACAATGGAACATCAACTATCAGCATTGTCTGACCAGCACAACAAATCACATTAAATGGGAAAAAGTGAGCAGTCTGTTTATCAACTGATTAGATATTCTTTATTCAACCAACATCAACAAACATATTGGTATCTGCAATGGGGACAACTTTCTCGGGGAATACTCTCTCTGCTGGGACTTTTGTCTCCAGTAGACAGAACTGATTTCTCTCTACAGGGACTACTCTCTCCTGAGGACTTGTCTTCTGGGGACTTTTTTATTTGGAACTACTCATTCCTGGATACTTCTGTCTTATGGGAGCTTCTCTCTATTGAGAACTGTTGTCTACTAGGAACTTCTCTCTTCTGGGGACTTCACTCTCTACTGGAAACTTCTCTCTTTACTGGGAACTTCTCTCTTTACTGGGAACTTCTCTCTCCTCTGAACTACTATCTCCAATGGACTTCTGTTTCCAGGGAGACTTCTGTCTCCTAAAAACTTTTCTCTCCTGGGACGTTTTGTCTCCTAGAGACTGATCTTTAATGGGGACTTCTCTCTATTGGAGATTTTTGTCTTTTGGGGACTTCTCTCCCAATGGAATTTCTACCTTCTGGGGACTGCTCTCTCCTGGGGGCTCTCATGGGAACCTTTATATCCAGGGGACTACTCTCTCCTGACAACTTCTTTATTCTAGGGAGCATACACTTTCCTGTGAGCTTTTCTCTCAAGGGTGGAGAAAGAGAGTAGTGCCCAAGAGACAGCTAGAAGACTCCATGAAATTGAAATCCCCAGTAGTGAGAAGTCACCAGGAGAGAGAAGCACCTAAGTGAGAGCAGTCCCCTGGGGGCTTCTCACACCTGTACACCATATAATAATAATAATAAAGCAATACAAACCCACTGAATTACCCCACACTATCAGGCAACATCCGTCTCCGTCTTGGGAGACGGATGTTGCCTGATAGTTTTCTGATGGTTGCCTGATGATATGTCTCGAAGGCCGCCAGGAACACAGCAGCATACCATAACACTTCCCTGACACCAAGGGAACACTAACCATCACAATATTCAATTGCATGAAAAAATCTCATACAAGAAAACTTGGAAAAAGAAAGGAAACAAGGAAAACTGAAAAAAAGAGTATGGAAAACGGATCTCAGGGTCTGAAACGTGCCTCATTTGACAGCTGGGATCACTAATTGGTACAAGAGACTTGACGTCGTCCAGTTCCCTCACTCAGGCTGTAGGAATTTCCAAACAGACTGAGCAAGGAACACCCCGCCAGGATGCAGTGATAAGTTATCACTGCTCCCCGTTGCTAGAGAGGGGTGGGGGACATCGTCCTCACCCCACAGTATCAGAAATATGCAGACTCCAATACGTGATTAACATAAACACGAAGGTCAACTCCGTGACCTTATACCGCCCCGCCTACATGTCGTCACATATCAGCTACATATCGTACGCGTGTATCCTGTTAATGTCCGCCTGGTTACACACAAATAACATTCATGTACTCATTCCTTCTCATCCGCGTCTATTACGAATAGATTAAAACAGAAAATAACCTTCGTGATGGTTTACTTAATAATAAGTATTAATTCCTTAAGTCATTTGGTCGGGGACAGGCAGCCTGACACGTTAGGCTTATATCGTGGCTCTCCCCTCCCAAAGAAAAAGGCGAACTACTAATCCTCTGCATTCAGATGCACCCAATAACAGTTGACTTACTCCCGGGTACCTGTTTACTGATAGGTGAACAGATGCATTAGGTGAAATGAAACTTGCCCAACTATTTCTGCCCCGCCTGGGATTCGAACCCAAGATTCCAGATAAAAAATAATATTTTATTCACAAAATATGTATACATAAGAGCATACATACATAATATGCATACATAAGAACACAATACAGAGTATGTTTGAAGGCACAGGGGTTGTATATTAATAAGACTACTAATGCACAAGGTGTTTCCGCCAATTCATTACAAAAGTTTACTTAAAGGTATAATGAGGTAAACTTACTACTAAATGATTGTGAGTTGACTGTACTAGCCAGACTCATGATGCTCCGTGGTGCTCAACTCTATCTATTTACCCCAATTGGGAGAGTTACTTAAAGAATACATCATATTCTTGGCTATAGTTATAGCTGATAAATTTTCCTGAGAAATGTTAGCGTGAACGTTGTTGTTGTTGTTATAGATTCAGCTACTCTGAACAAAAGTTCCAAGTAGCACGGGCTATGGTGAGCCCGTTAGCGTGAACGTTTGCACTGGTATATATATCTCCTGGATGACACTAACAGGTATGGCACAGGTCACGACTTCTCCGGAGGGTGCAGTCGCACCTCCACAGATCTCCAGTATCACCTAATGATACTGGTAATGGCTCCAAAGGGCCACTACTTACGGGCTATTCATGCCCGTGCCACCTTTTAGGTGGCTTAATCTTCATCAATTAATCAATCAATCAACAGGTATGGTTGATGGCGTTAGTCTCACGTACAGCTGTCACTGTTAACGCACACATTTTGTACGGTGTAAACTAGACAAGTATACGTGTCTAGTATCTGACGGCTGAGTGAACAGCGGTTGGGGTTCGATCCCCGGCGGAGGTGGAAAAAAATGGGCAGAGTTTCTTTCACCTTGATGTCCAGTTCACCTAGCAGTAAATAGGTACCTGGGAGTTAGACAGCTGCTATGGGCTGCTTCCTGGGGATGTGTGTGTGTGTGTGTGTGTGTGTGTGTGTGTGTGTGTGTGTGTGTGTGTGTGTGTGTGTGTGTGTGTACTCACCTAGTTGTACTCACCTAGTTGTGTCTGCAGGATCGAGCACTGACTCTTGGATCCCGCCTTTCGAGCATCGGTTGTTAACAGCAATGACTCCTGTCCCATTTCCCTATCATACCTGGTTTTAAAATTATGAATAGTATTTGCTTCCACAACCTGTTCCTGAAGTGCATTCCATTTCCCCACTACTCTCACGCTAAAAGAAAACTTTCTAACATCTCTGTGACTCATCTGAGTTTCAAGCTTCCATCCATGTCCTCTCGTTCTGTTACTATTCCGTGTGAACATTTCGTCTATGTCCACTCTGTCAATCCCTCTGAGTATCTTATACGTTCCTATCATGTCCCCCCTCTCCCTTCTTCTTTCTAGTGTCGTAAGGCACAGTTCCCTCAGGCGCTCCTCATACCCCATCCCTCGTAGCTCTGGGACGAGTCTCGTTGCAAACCTCTGAACCTTTTCCAGTTTCATTATATGCTTCTTCAGATGGGGACTCCATGATGAGGCGGCATACTCTAAGACTGGCCTTACGTAGGCAGTGTAAAGCGCCCTAAATGCCTCCTTACTTAGGTTTCTGAATGATGTTCTAACTTTTGCCAGTGTAGAGTACGTGTGTGTGTGTGTGTGTGTGTGTGTGTGTGTGTGTGTGTGTGTGTGTGTGTGTGTGTGTGTGTGTGTGTGTGTGTGTGTGTGAAAATAAGGATTAAGGACCTGTCGGAAACGCTACGCGTGCTAGTGGCTGTACAAGAATGTACGAACTCTTGTATATATAAATAAATCATTACAAATAAACAGGTGAGAGTGTGGTGAGGTGCTGGGAGCACCACCACCAGGTTATGCCCACTCGACTACTACATGTGCTTACCCATCACTGCCTGCAGGGGCCTGAACTCTAGCTCTTGGTACCCCGTATCCTAGCCTCGTTGTGCATGTTGTTATAATTCAACTATTCTGACGTTCTATCCCGCAGGACCAAGGGGGGGGGGAGACTCGTCTCACGATGTGAAAAACATCAAATTTGAAGAGGTTTTCCATACGAACCTTTGGCAACCTATCTTACCTAACTTGACTTTAGGTAAGTTCGACGTGACGTCAATATTGGTCCGACATGAGGTCAATACTGGTCCGACATGAGGTCAATAGTGGTCCGACATGAGGTCAATACTGGTCCGACATGAGGTCAATACTGGTCCGACATGAGGTCAATACTGGTCCGACATGAGGTCAATACTGGTCCGACATGAGGTCAATACTGGTCCGACATGAGGTCAATACTGGTCAGACATGAGGTCAATACTGGTCCGACATGAGGTCAATACTGGTCCGACATGAGGTCAATACTGGTCCGACATGAGGTCAATACTGGTCCGACATGAGGTCAATACTGGTCCGACATGAGGTCAATACTGGTCAGACATGAGGTCAATACTGGTCCGACATGAGGTCAATACTGGTCCGACATGAGGTCAATACTGGTCCGACATGAGGTCAATACTGGTCCGACATGAGGTCAATACTGGTCCGACATGAGGTCAATACTGGTCCGACGTGACGTCAATAATGATCCTACATAACATCAATATTGCGGCGCATTTAATTTCACCGGAACACTGAATATTGACGGTGCATTAAGTGTGAGGACAGGTTGTTCAGGTGGCATTACCTCGACAGTCAACCCGTCAATAATGACAGTAGTTACAGCAGGTATTTGGTCACACATATTGACCAAAGAGCCACAGCTCAACCCCCGCAAGCACAACTAGGTGAGTACATACAAACATGCACCGTTGGACTCCGAAAAATTCCCGTTTTCAATTACTGAATTAGCCCGATTGAAATTCCTGGATATACTGAAGAATTTCTGAGGAACGTACCTGAACGTTTCTGGCGATGGTGTCGTCGTCGTCGTCGTCCACGACCGGATAGAAGCTCTTGAGGAAGGCGTGGACGTCCTCACGCTCCACCTCCTGCTCCTCACTGCTACTCGAGCGACTATCATCCTCCTCCTCCAGCATAACTGACTTGGCTCACCCTGCTGCTTAACTGGCTGATTGGTGGTCACTTGGCTGGTACACCTGCGGTAATAACCTTGGTTGATGACCTGGTCTGCAGGTGTAGCATATGAGAGAGAGAGAGAGAGAGAGAGAGAGAGAGAGAGAGAGAGAGAGAGAGAGAGAGAGAGAGAGAGAGAGAGAGAGAGAGAGAGAGAGAGAGAGAGAGAATGAGAGAGAGAGAATGAGAGAGAGAGAATGAGAGAGAGAGAATGAGAGAGAGAGAATGAGAGAGAGAGAATGAGAGAGAGAGAGAGAATGAGAGAGAGAGAGAGAATGAGAGAGAATGAGAGAGAGAGAGAATGAGAGAGAGAGAGAATGAGAGAGAGAGAGAGAGAGAGAGAGAGAGAGAGAGAGAGAGAGAGAGAGAGAGAGAGAGAGAGAGAGAGAGAGAGAGAGAGAGAGAGAGAGAGAGAGAGAGAGAGAGAGAGAGAGAGAGAGAGAGAGAGAGAGAGTAACAAGACAACACACACAAGTCATAAATCACCCAGACAATACCAGAGGAATGTATTACAGGTGAGACAGTGAGTATTACATCCGTGGTGGTGGTGTGTTGACCACTCAACACGACACAAACACACCTAAAGGTTACTGCTGATGATCTACTGATAACCCCATTTCAGAGACTGATAAGTCTCCCACTTGTCACTCTTGGTACTTGTTCTGTTATCTGTTTAATGAAATGCAGGAGATAGATAACAAATAGGCAAGAATGCACGCACAAATGCGCACGCACACACAGACAGAATGCTTGGAAGTCGTAGTTCAAAGTGTTCGGGTTCGATTCCCAATCGCGGTAGAAATATGGGCAGAGTTTCTTTCATCTGATTCGCCTATTCACCTAGCAGTAAACAGATGCTCGAGTTAGACCAGTGTTACGGCCTGCATCCCGGGATGTGTGTGTGTTAGAGAGAAATTCATATAGTAAAAATAGTACTAGGTATGGTAGTAGATACGTGTGCGTGCTTGCGTGAGCGAGCGCGAGCGTGAGTGAGTGTGCGCGCGAGCGTGAGTGTGTGTGCCCGAGCGTGAGTGAGTGTGTGCGCGAGCGTGAGTGAGTGTGTGTGCGAGCATGAGTGAGTGAAGAACAGGATGAGTGCGACGTTCGAGGTGTTTCCTGTCTTCCCATCACTCTTTGTCAACTTTGTCATATACCACTTTGACACTACTGACGGGTTTGGCCTCCACCACCGTCTCACTTAACTACTTAGCTTAACTCTATGACCTCTCGTTCTTGAGGTCTCAGGAATTCTTCTTGATCAATTTTGTCGCTTCACATTTCTATTTTGTACGTAGTGATCATATCTCCTCTTTTTCTTCCACTTTCTAGCTTTGGCATATTTAACGCCTCTAACCTCTCCTCGTAGCTCTTGTCTTTTCCAGTTTGTTGATGTGCTTCTTGAGACAGTACACTGCTGCATATTCAAATATTGGTCTCACGAAGGTGGTCAACAATTTCTTTCATATTTCGCCATGTATTTAAAAACAACTCAGACGTGGGAAAAGATAAGTAAGTAATTCTCTAAAGAAGGCGCCAAGGTGGGAAAGGATTACCTTGTGGTTACCTTGCATTGATTTCGGGGCTCAACTTTCCCGCGGCCCGGTCCCTGACCAGGCTTCACACAGCCCTGTTCTTTATGTGGTCCTCAGGTGACAGCTTTCTACCTAGAATAACCTCTAGATCCTTTACTTTATCAGAATTCTTTAAATTTTTTTCACATATTTGTAGGTTTTCAGTGACCTATTTTCTCCTATTTCACATTCCATAGTGTGGCATTTGTTCACAATAAATTTCATCTGCCAGCTAGTCCCCGTGGCGCAGTGGTAAAGCACTCGCCCGGTGCTTCACTAGCACTTTGGCCTGGGTGCGTATCCTGGCCGGGGAGGATTGACTGGGCGCCAATACTTAACTGCAGCCAATGTTCACCCAGCAGTGAATGGGTAAATGGTTGTTAAAAGATTTGGCGGGTCGTATTCCGGGGAACAATTAGGATTAAGCACCTGCCTGAAACGCTTCGCGTGCTAGTGGTTTAACAAGAATGTAAGAACTCTTGTATATAAATAAAATAAAAACGTTTACTTCCATACACGTATTGTCTCCAGGTTTTCTTGAAGACCTGGAGACAGTCGTCTAAGATTCTTATCTTTGCCAGTATCTTAGCATCATCAGCAAACATGTTCATATCTTAGCATCATCAGCAAACATGTTCATGTCTTAGCATCATCAGCAAACATGTTCATGTCTTAGCATCATCAGCAAACATGTTCATGTCTTAGCATCATCAGCAAACATGTTCATGTCTTAGCATCATCAGCAAACATGTTCAACTTCGTATTCGTTCGTGTGTAGGTTTGTTGACCTTTCTAAATATGTACAATATTCTAATGCAATGTTACGAGTTTTTTTGGTAATTTTTACTTTCAACGCCGCGTTTTTTAGGCCTACTAATATGTTGTAAGCCTATTATTTTTAAGCTATACTCAGAATTTGACTTCGACTTTTAAGTATGAGCAAGACCTACGGATTCACTGGCTACGATGTGTTTCATCGACTTGGCAGAGCTACCAGTTAACAAGATATCGGTAATAAATATGGAGGAATACTTACTTGGGTAGCGTATAAGTTTGGTTCTTGAAATTGTGATTGTATTCGACCAGGACTCGCGACTCCCAATGGGTACAGTATGTAATCCAGTAGTATGTCACTGTAACACCATACTCCACACAGTATGTAGTAGGACAAGAGATCTGCACGTCCTCACCCTCGGCTGTCTTCAGTACGCACTATACGTACCGTGTTGTTTCCAACAGGTCCACGTACACTCACTCCACACGAATATAACCTGTCCGAACAGTATTAGAAATAACCGTTTTCTTTAATATTTATAGGTACCGGTTTTTTATGAACGTGACAATTTGAAGCGTGAACTCTCATATTTTGTAGTGCGACCGACAGACAAACAGACAGACAGACAGATAGACAGACAGACACACACACACACACACACACACACATTTACCTGAGGGCCTTATATTTGTTTTTGGAGTAAATAAGGATGATATATGAAGGGTACAGCGATGTCCTTATTTCTTGCAAAGTCAGCGATCGAATCCAGATGGTCCAAGTGGTCGAAGACCGTTCCTTAATTCACTGTCCTCATATCCCAGCTCCTTGCAATTTAATATTTTGCAAGTGCTCTATTTAGTCATACTAGCTTAACGCTTTCTTCAGATTATTACCTTACCTGTATCTGAAAGGGCAGTGTTGGGTCAGCAAACTGACAACAGAAAGTTTTGGGTTAGGAGGCAATGTAGGCACCTCCATCTGCTAACACTCGCCTGGTGTTTCGCGAGCGCTTTGTCCCGGGTTCGTATCCTGGCCGGGGAGGATTTACTGGGCTTTACTGTAGCCTCTGTTTACCCAACAGTAAAATTGGTACTTGGTTGTTAAACGATTTGGCGGGTCGTATTCCGGGGAGCATAGGATTAAGGACTTGATCGAAACGCTACGCGTGCTACTGGCTGTTCAAGAATATAAGAACTCTTGTATATATAAACAAAAAAAAGTTCATAGCAAAACACTGCCACGTGAATCATGAGTGGTACACTGTGTTCATCCCCTATCCTCGGCCTCCAAGGAGAAACGGGCCCCACCAGTCTAGCTGCCAGAAGGGATACGACGTGTACCAACTGTCTCTCACTCTGCATCGCTACACACCATACACATCCAAAATTAATTCAACAATTAATCAAAGGATTAAGAACATAAGGAACATAGGGTTAAGGACTTGCCTGAAACGCTATGCGTGCTAGTGACTGTATAAAAATGTAAGAACTCTTGTATATAAAAGTAAATAAAAACAAATAATAAAATAATAATTAATAATAATATAATTTATTTATTATATTATATTATATTATACAGTATTATATTATATTATATTATATTATACAGTATTATATTATATTATATTATATTATATTATATTATATTATATTATATTATATTATAATTAACCCACACAACCTTTGCTTACTCACCATCCATTCACAGCATTCCTGACACGGGTCACAACCTTAATATAGACCAATTATTCAAAACTGAGAACCCCAACTTATCACCACCCCTTCTTCACCCTGTCGTTACATAACTCATAAACCATCAACAGCTTGAAGACAACATGCCAAAAATCAACACCAAAATCAGCCATTGCCTCAACCTTCGCCTACACGATGAAAACCTGGGGCCAGATTCACGAAGCAGTTACGCAAGTACTTACGAACGTGTACATCTTTCCTCGATCTTTGGCGACTTTGGTTACATTTATTAAACAGTTTACAAGCATGAAAACTTGCCAATCAACTGTTGTTATTGTTATAAACAGCCTCCTGGTGCTTCGGAGCTCATTAACTGTTAAATAATTGTAAACAAAGCCACCAAATATTGAGAAAAGATGTACAGGTTCGTAAGTGCTTGCGTAACTGCTTCGTGAATCTGGCCCCAGGTACTCCACCACCACCACCACAACGAGTGACACAGGTGGTTATCGCACACTATACAACAATGAACCTTCTGACACCAGTTAGTTGAGTAACATTTAGTATGCACCCCATACCCAGCCCGTGCGCGGTGGTGGAAAGGGTTACAGAAGCAGGTAATGGGTTCAGGAACTGAACAATCTTGTGACGATTGTTACTTAGCTAATTGAACTACGGGGTTCAATTCCCCCAACCCATTAAATGCCACTGTAACCACCGCCGAAGGGATGGGTGTAGGGTGCATAATAAATGCCTAAACTAATTGGTGATTGAAGGTTCAGTGGTCTTTAGTATGCGAGAACCATGTACTCACCTATTGGTTTTTTTGCGGGGGTTGAGCTCTGGCTCTTTGGTCCCGCCTCTCAACCGTCAATCAACAGGTGTACAGATTCCTGAGCCTACTGGGCTCTATCATATCTACACTTGAAACTGTGTATGGAGTCAGCCTCCACCACATCACTTCCTAATGCATTCCATTTGTCAACCACTCTGACGCTAAAAAATTTCTTTCTAATATCTCTGTGGCTCATTTGGGCACTCAGTTTCCACCTGTGTCCCCTAGTGCGTGTGCCCCTTGTGTGTGTGTGTGCGTGCGTGCGTGTGCGTGCGTGTGTGTGTGTGTGTGTGTGTGTGTGTGTGTGTGTGTGTGTGTGTGTGTGTGTGTGTGTGTGTGTGTGTGTGTGTGTGTGTGCGTGCGTATTTACTATTTGTATCTGTAGAATCGAGGTATTAGCTCGTGGATCCCACCTTTCTAACCAATTTATTTTTCCTCTGTTATGTCTACTACATATATTTCTCTTACACACGCATAACACACACACACACACACGCACACATCCCCAGAAAGCAGCCCGTAGCAGCTGTCTATCCAACCACGAGGCCCCTATGTGCGTGTGTGTGCGTGCGGGCGTGCGTGTGTGTGTGTACGTGTGTTCAGGCCGTAGACAAAGGCGAATAACACCACGTTTAACAATACACCTTTATTACCAAGCTTACAAAGAAGTGTCTGCAGAAAATAATAAAAGTGTTAACAACAGATCAAATACAGTATAGATTACAAGTACAGTGCGCGCGCTGAGAGCCTCCGTGACAACACGGGAGACTACAGGTACTGTACCCCGTAACACGTGATGTATCCATTACAAAATCATTGGGGCAGGGCGGGGTGTGGATCGCGTCTGGGAGGATCCCGGTCGCAAGTTCGATTCCTCAGCGACCAGCAAATCAAGGTCTGGTAAGCAAGGTCAAGGCTTTGACTGTTTGGTTTTATCTGTCAGACTTGGGAGAGTAATTGTAAGTCTCCTTCAGTATGGGTATACATAAGCACCTTCAGTATGGGTATACACAAGCACCTCCAGTATGGGTATACATAGGCTCCTTCAGTATGGGTATACATAAGCACCTTCAGTATGGGTATACACAAGCACCTCCAGTATGGGTATACATAGGCTCCTTCAGTATGGGTATACATAGGCTCCTTCAGTATGGGTATACATAGGCTCCTTCAGTATGGGTATACATACTGAAGCAGACTTACAATTACTCTTACAATGACTTGACTTACAATGACATTACTTACAATGACTTCGGTATGGGTATACATAGGCTCCTTCAGTATGGGTATACATAGGCTCCTTCAGTATGGGTATACATAGGTACCTCCAGTATGGGTATACATAGGCTCCTTCAGTATGGGTATACACGAACACCTTCAGTATGGGTATACACAAGCACCTCCAGTATGGGTATACATAGGCTCCTTCAGTATGGGTATACACGAACACCTTCAGTATGGCGTATACACAAGCTCCTTCAGTATGGCGTATACACAAGCACCTCCAGTATGGCGTATACACAAACACCTTCAGTATGGGTATACACAAGCACCTTCAGTATGGCGTATACACAAGCACCTCCAGTATGGCGTATACACAAACACCTTCAGTATGGGTATACACAAGCACCTTCAGTATGGCGTATACACAAGCACCTTCAGTATGGCGTATACACAAACACCTCCAGTATGGGTATACACAAACACCTTCAGTATGGGTATACACAAGCACCTTCAGTATGGGTATACACAAACACCTTCAGTATGGGTATACACAAGCACCTTCAGTATGGCGTATACACAAGCACCTTCAGTATGGCGTATACACAAGCACCTCCAGTATGGCGTATACACAAGCACCTTCAGTATGGGTATACACAAGCACCTTCAGTATGGCGTATACACAAGCACCTCCAGTATGGGTATACACAAACACCTTCAGTATGGGTATACACAAGCACCTTCAGTATGGGTATACATAGGCACCTTCAGTATGGGTATACACAAGCACCTTCAGTATGGCGTATACACAAGCACCTTCAGTATGGGTATACATAGGCACCTTCAGTATGGGTATACACAAACACCTTCAGTATGGGTATACACAAGCACCTTCAGTATGGGTATACACAAGCACCTCCAGTATGGGTATACATAGGCTCCTTCAGTATGGGTATACACAAGCACCTTCAGTATGGCGTATACACAAACACCTTCAGTATGGGTATACACAAGCACCTTCAGTATGGGTATACACAAACACCTTCAGTATGGGTATACACAAGCACCTTCAGTATGGGTATACACAAGCACCTCCAGTATGGGTATACACGAACACCTTCAGTATGGGTATACATAGGCACCTCCAGTATGGGTATACATAGGCACCTTCAGTATGGGTATACACGAACACCTTCCGTATGGGGTATACACGAACACCTTCAGTATGGGGTATACACAAACACCTTCAGTATGGGTATACACAACTTCAGTATACTGCGACAAATACAACATGAAGGTCCTCCTGGTCTGTCTCGAGGTCAACATAAAATATTTTAATTAGGCAGATGTGACTGAAACAGGAAGCTGCAAATTACAGTTTAAGTAGTTGTAAACAAATCTAGACATACAATATAGTTTGTAAGATGTAAACTAACTAAGATGTAAACCAACTTGCTTACCCCACAACAGTTGCCTAAGTACCAGGTATCTATTTACTCTTTTAGGTGAACAGAAACGTGCCTAATCCTTTCTCTCTCCTCCCCCCCCGCGCCTATGGGGAATCGAACCTGGGAGCCTCAATTGTGATTTGCCTGGACAACAGAGGTTCAAACTAGAGGAAACAGTCTAGCTAAAAACCGGACGGATGACTGCGTGCCGAGGGCCAGGCTGTGATAGCTGGAGAGCGCTGACCCCAAACTCTATCGCAGACCTTACATCTATTATACTCCACCAAGTACATTCCATCTAGAACACGCCATGTAAAATGCCATGCGTTTCTCGGTATCCAGAGCACTGAAGGGAGCCATGAGCAGGTCTTGCGGGTAAACGGCGGGAGTCTCTCTCTCCTAACAGTCCACGTTAGAACACGCCATGTAGGACATTCCGTGGAATGTCCTACATAGAGGCGGGGTGGTAATAGGTCACACAGAGTGAGAGGGAAGTGTGTATGAGGGTGTATGAGGGCAGTGACTTGTGGATCAATGTTTCCATGGTGTCGCCACGACCCATATTAGAGCTGGGCTGCCATCACAAGCCATCTTTCCTTCCCAGTAAACACAAAGCGAATAATATAAGAAGCCATGCAAGAAATAAATGAAAAAATAGGTCGTTTGGTGGTACGAATAATCTGAAGGTAATACAAAAAATGCCAAGTTGAGTTAGCATTAATAAATCTCACTCAATCTGTCATCTAAGAACTTTAATTATAATCAAGATTAAAATATATTATTAAGTTGTGGTTAGAGAAGGCGACAGAGCCGGTAGAGATCGGTATAAGAGCTCGCTGGCGCCATCTGGACAGACATGAACAAATCCACAGAGGCCGTGATGAGGGTTCGAACCAACGCATGGGAAGGGAAGGGAAATGGAATTGTCGGGAAAGCGCCAAGCCATTACGACTATATAGCACTGGGAAGGGGTCAGGATAAGGCACCATTTGGTCACCATTTGGTCCGGGAGACATCTCCCGTTACGCAGGGTGCAGTCGCGCCTCCACAGATCTCCAGTATCAGCTCTTGATACTGGTAATGGCTCAAAAGGGCCACCACTTACGGGCTACTCATGCCCGTGCCACCTCTTGGGTGGCTTAATCTACATCAATCATCAGGATAAGGATTAGGGATGGGACGGGGGGAAGGAATGGTGGCCAACCACTTGTGGGCGGCTGGGAATTGAACGACGACCTGCATGAAGCGAGACCGTCGCTCTACCGTCCAGCGACGGTAGAGCGTCTGTGTGTATGGACAGTAATATTGACTAATATATTACTCCCATATTTTACGGTCCTCTCATACTATCGCCGCGTGTGTTCACTCTGTCATAACACCGGGTGGAGCCGCACCAGCTAGGAGGTCAGGAGGCAGAGTCACGAAGCAGTTACGCAAGTACTTACGAACGTGTACATCTGTCCTCAATCTCTGACGGCTTTGGTTACGTATATTAAACAGTTTACAAGCATGAAAACGTCCCAATCAACTGTTGTTATTGTTATAAACAGCCTCCTGGTGATTCGAAGCTCATTAACTGTTTAATAATTGTAAACAAAGCCGCCAAAAATTGACAAAAGATGTACAGGTTCGTAAGTGCTTGCGTAACTGCTTCGTGAATCTGGCCCCTGGCCCACGTGGGAGTGTAAACCCCAAACTGGATTCGAGAACCAGCGAGGCGTCACCATCCAGGCCCTAACTACGAGCCCAACTACCACCCTTGAGATGGTTATCTTGAGATGATTTCGGGCTTAGCGTCCCCGAGGCCCGGTCCTCGACCAGGCCTCCTTTTTGTTCAACCCCCCCCCCCTCCCAGGAAGCAGCCCGTAGCAGCTGTCTAACTCCCAGGTACCTATTTACTGCTAGGTATCAGAGGCATCAGGATGAAAGAAACATTTTGCCCATTTGTCTCTGCCTCTACTGGGGATCGAACTCGGAATCTCAGGACTACGAATCCGAAGCCCTGTCCACCCAGCTGTCAGGTGCCCTAAAAGGATTTAGGTTTAGGTTCAACATTTAGGATAATACATGTAGGGGTATATAAAATTAGAATGATACTGGCTATGTACTGGCACTTCTCTTCAAGGAACATCAGGACCCTGATGTTCCTGATCCCTGATGATGATTGGGAGCCGGTCGGCCGAGCGGACAGCACGCTGGACTTGTGATTCTGTGGTCCTGGGTTCGATCCCAGGCGCCGGCAAGAAACAATGGGCAGAGTTTCACCCTATGCCCCTGTTACCTAGCAGTAAAATAGGTACCTGGGTGTTAGTCAGCTGTCACGGGCTGCTTCCTGGGGGTGGAGGCCTGGTCGAGGACCGGGCCGCGGGGACACTAAAAAGCCCCGAAATCATCTCAAGATAACCTCAAGAATCTCAAGATAACCCTACAAGTGCAGGGTTCACAAAACACAAACTTAACACGCTACGAGGCACACTTAAGCGGATACAACATAAAATGAATTAACAAATTCAAAAAATTGCTAAGCTGCCAAGATTTAAAGTGTTGCTTGTAACACTCGTCATAATACTGTGTTATCACAGAGATATTGTAGCCCCTTGGGTCACTCTCTTAGATAAATACACTACAGGTTTACCGCCATAGTAAACCACGCATAATGAGATTCAAATATTTATTAATTAATACAGCATGGTAGTCAATATAAGATTATAAATGTTGATCATAAACTCTCTAGCCTATGAGAGAGAATTGTTCTACTTAAGAATGATTGGAGTGCATAATAGAACATGCTAAAAGTATAATAATAATAATATTGTAGAGTATAAGTTAATGGTCTTCAGATGAGTCGTAGGTGCACATATACATACTCATACACACATACACACCTGCATACTAACACAAACACACACACGTCAACAGAATAACAACAGGTTTGGAACACAAGTACGGTACTAAACGCATTTTATCCAAGTGTGTGAGTGAGTGGAATGTACATCAGATGTTGGCACGCAGCTGGTCCACCTTGACAACCACCCAGCTGGCACGCCTTGACAACCACCCAGCTAGTCTACCTTGACAACAACCCAGCTGGTCCACCTTGACAACCACCCAGCTGGTCCACCTTGACAACCACCCCAGCTGGTCCACCTTGACAACCACCCAGCTGGTCCACCTTGACAACCACCCAGCTGGTCCACCTTGACAACCACCCCAGCTGGTCCACCTTGACAACCACCCAGCTGGTCCACCTTGACAACCACCCCAGCTGGTCCACCTTGACAACCACCCAGCTGGTCCACCTTGACAACCACCCCAGCTGGTCCACCTTGACAACCACCCAGCTGGTCCACCTTGACAACCACCCCAGCTGGTCCACCTTGACAACCACCTGATTGGAAGCCTGATTAGACTTCCAATGAAGGCTAATCAAGGGTTTAACTCAGTGTCATGTGGTGTAGTGGTCCAAGGCGTGGTCTTGGGATAGTACCCAGTGCGTGCAGGTTCGAATCCCCCGGATGACTCCTAATGATTTTCTCAATATTAACTATAATAATAATGATGATAGTAATACTTGTACAGCTACTACAAAGACAGCAGGTGTGTGGGTGGCCAGGTGTATACCCCACACACACCACACAAGACATCAGGTGTGTGGTTGGCCAGGTGTATACCACACACACCACACAAGACAGCAGGTGTGTGGTTGGCCAGGTGTATACCCCACACAAGACAGCAGGTGTGTGGGTGGCCAGGTGTATACCCCACACACACCACTCAAGACAGCAGGTGTGTGGTTGGTCAGGTGTATACCACACACACACCACAACTCTCCTTCCTCAACTCACCAACAAACTCACTCTAGTGTGGTGATGTCTTCCGCTCAACACATCCAAAAGAGAGCAAATTACATAACAAATCTTGGCAACGCTAACAAGGAAAACATAGACAGTTTAACAACTGAAATTTGTGGCAAGTAAGTGCCAAATAAATTACATTTAATGACTTTCAAGAATACCTGTGACCTGCCACAGCTAATTGCACATTACAAATTGTTTTTAATCTCTATAGAAAGCCAATTCGTAAAAAAAGACATACGACACACTAATTGTGTTTGTTCTCATAAATATATACAAAATTCTGAGGCTTCAACCTAAGGCTTCGTAATAGTAAGAAAACTCTAGAAAGTTTGTAGAAAAAAATCGTACCTCTGAGGTCAGATAGTAAGCATCCATCAGTCTCAGGAGACTATGGAGTTGCGCTCTGGTTGTCGGTCTGGAGTGGCCTCTCCAGGGCGCAAAGCCTGGGTAGGATGATTCGGGGGAGAAGCTGTTACCCATGCAGCAGGTCCCCCCTCTCCACGGCGCTGAAAGTCTCCAATGGAAAGGCATACGCCAATACGATTGGTTCCAGCGCCGTCGCAGGAACTGTGAGTTCCGGGGTTGACCTCGAAGGTCAACCTCGGTCAAATCCCTCAGTTTCAGAAATTTCGTCCACCTGGACCATTGGGAATCGAACTCCGACCCTGCAAGATGCGAAGCTCTCGCTCTCCCGACCAGTCCAAATGGTTGGACAAACTTGTTAGCATTAGGATAACATCAGTACTGTGTGAGAGGAAAGCTCATACTAATACATTATCGCCATACAGAGATGACTCGTTAACTAGTAGTCAAGTTACTATAGATAAAAGCTCACTCTTGTATATATTCTGTGTATAGCAGATATACATGTACATAAAGTCTTGTAAATATATATACATATACAGACGATAGTGCAAACCATAAGTATCGTAAATATACATTTACCAAAAATATTATAAGCCATAAACATTATAACTATACATATACACAACTGACTGTAAGCCATAGGAATCGTAAATATACATATACAGAAGATATTGCAAGCCGTAAGTAAGGTAAATATACACATCGAGAACACGTATAATAAACCATTATGAAACATACACACACAGGAATACTGACGAGGTAATTTATAACCATAAAATACGTGTGGGGAAATATACACAAGGTAGACTTAAGGCAATACAAGAGGCTGGAAACTGTATTAGTTACAGTGTGGTGTAACTGTTGTATAGATATATACATTCTGAGGCGGGTCTCATCGCTATAAGCTGAGGATGTTCACGTTTGTCTTATAAACACCTTTAAAACCTTCTTCATGGATTGGATCTTCAATTACAATTACACTGAAAATAATAATAATAATAATAATAATAATAATAATAATGAAAACAAATTTAACAGTAATATTTATAAGGCAATACAAATACTAATATAATAATATTACATAGAGCCGTGTATAGCCTGTATGGTAGTACCCGTCTAACTGTCACCTCGGAGGAACCACCCTGACTGTATCTCTGAGAGTACTCACCTATACACACCTGCAAGGTTGAGCTTCAGCTCAAAGACCAAAAAAAAAAAAGCTATCGGAAGCCTAATGATCTTGTACTAAAAGTGGCCCAAGGGTTTGGTTATCTTGAAACTATGTCTTTTTCGCCACCTTGTATTTGTTAATGTATTATGGTAATGTGCTTCCTTATACCCTTGCTTCTTAATTATTATTCTTCTTCCCACAACTGGGCTGGGCTCCTACCCTCCTCCTCTCGCTTTCTGCTTAGTAAATCTCAACGTCTCTTCGTGGTCTGCCTTGTAGACCGTAGAGAACCTTGCACAGTCTCTGAAATGTTAATCATCTTATCTCTTTCACACCTTGTCCAACCATGAGATCATAATGATATACATATATAAGAAGGAGATGTCTAAGACGTTGCCATCAATGCCTATGACTCCTTGTTCTGGTACTCCTCGCTTTAAACACTGCTGCTTTGTCTCTTCTGTTGATTCCCTTTAGAATCTTTAAGTGTGTGTGTGTGTGTGTGTGTGTGTGTGCGTGCGTGCGTGTGTGTATGTGTGTGTGTGTGTGTGTGTGTGTGTGTGTGTGTTTACTAGTTGTGTTTTTACGGGGGTTGAGCTTTGCTCTTTCGGCCCGCCTCTCAACTGTCAATCAACTGTTTACTAACTACTTTTTTTTTTTTTTTTTTTTTTTTTTTTTTTTTTTCCCACACCACACACACACACACACACCCCAGGAAGCAGCCCGTGACAGCTGACTAACTCCCAGGTACCTATTTACTGCTAGGTAACAGGGGCATTCAGGGTGAAAGAAACTTTGCCCATTTGTTTCTGCCTCGTGCGGGAATCGAACCCGCGCCACAGAATTACGAATCTTGCGCGCTATCCACCAGGCTACGAGGCCCCCTGTGTGTGTGTGTGTGTGTGAGAGATAATGCCAACGCGGCCATGCAGGATAGTCATCTGGCAACCTTAGGTTACCGTCACAACATACTGTGGATAATACTCATTCTTGTCGTACTTGACGTACACCGTCGGGGTCTCGACGTCGTTGACCGTCGTGTCGGAGGTGACGCCCGTCTCGGGGTCAAGCGGGGGACTCTCTATCGTACCGTCTCCCTTAGTTATGTCAGCTACTGCCACTTGGGCCACCAGCAGGTAGGACTTGTCGTACCTAGCGTCAGGGACACTGTACCTGAAGGCTCTGTCCACGTCAGAAAAGAAATAGGTGCCGTGCCCATACCGCGTCTTCCTCCCGTACGACCTGCCTTGAAGGGTCCGGTCAAGGTTCTTTCTGAAGATTTTCGGTAAGACGTCCTTTGAGGTTCCGTGGAACAGCTGTCGAACGGTGGGTTCCGGTCCGTTGTAAATGTCGGGCATCTCTTCAATTCGCTTTTGGAATTTTTGCCACAACTGGCGATTCTGAATCCGTTTTATACCCAGGACTTTTCTTTTGTATAAACCTGGCTCGAGGAGCGCCATCACGTCTCTATACTCGTTCGTGTAGGGGTTTAGCGGCACAAGACGAAGGTTCTCGACGTACTCCATATCCTCCCAGGTGACTGGTAACGGCTGCAGCGAGTCAGGCTCTTGGTAAGTGGAGGTGGGTGTCGAGGGCGCCGGAGTCTCTCCGTCTTCAGGAGGCGCTGGCACGGGAGATTCTGGTGTTTCGTCATCAGGGTAGTCGGGAGACGAGGCCCTGGTGCTCTCCTCATCCTCGTCCAGGTGAGACTGGGGCCGTCGTCTCACCTCTCGCTGGGAGCCAGTTTCATCGTTAGTTTGAGTCATGGTGGCGAAGTCAATGGAGTAGCTGTACTTGTCGGTAGAGAAGTTCATCACTTTGGTCCCTTCTCTGTAACTATTCTCTATATCTACCCAATTCACACTGCTTATGAGGTTGTTGTGCGGTGCTCCGTAAGGTATCCATTCCTTGTCTCCTGAGAGGAAGTACCAGACGTAGTTTCTAGCTTTCACATCCACCTCGTCCTTTTCCTCCGTGCACAGCCGACGCAGCCACAGGATTTCTCCGGAAGAGTTAGTCATGGTCATGGTGTCAAAATGCGAGGTCCAGGTGTCGCCGCCCATGATCTGCAGGAGGTAGCCTGGCGGGGGACGGTAGGTGGAGGGGTTGGGCGGGGGGACGAGGGCCTTCTCTAGCGCTGGGTCGCAGTAGGCACGCTCCAGGGCCATCACCTGGGTGTCCTGCAGGTTCTGCCAGCGTCCGTCCTCCTCCCTCACCTGCCACTGGTAGTGTCGGGTCGCGTGGAGGCGATAACAGCCGATGTTCTCCTGGTTACACAGTCCCTCCACCGAGTCGTAGCAGATCTCTGGCACTCTCACATCCCCGTTTGAGTTCATAGTCCACAAAGACTCGCCCAAGCGTATATCGTTGTTTAATTCTCCATCCTCTTCTGCGAAGTCTTGAATCACCAATTGTACCATTTTGCACAGAACATCGTTGTTCAGCTCCTCCAAGAAGAGGTTGTAGAGAATTCGTGAGTTAGGCTGGACCTCCCAGTCATGGCTCCTGAAGCAGGAGTTGGTAGTGCACACGTCCTTGAGGTAGTGGAGGTTCTCGCAGTCCTCGGCGAGGTCGCAGGCACCTGTGTTGCTGTAGGAGCAACACATCAGTAACCGCGGGCGCAGCTTCACTACCTCCTCCTCCAGCTGGAACACTCTCGGGTAAGTAAACACCACCCGGCGCACGGCAGATGGCTGCAGCTGGTGCTTCTGCATGAGGTTCAGCAAGGTGGTGGACAGGTTGGGTTTGTACGCCAGCACCTCAACCAACTTCCGCGGCCGCAGGAAGGCTTTATCCAAATGACCTGCCGGGGAAGAGATCGGGGTCAGGGAGCTAAAGTAGAAGACAACATACTAGAAGCTCTATGATGAGGCGCAGAGCATGAGAGGACACGCACAACCCATCACAGTCATCTCGCTCTCTATTCATCTCGCTATCCATTTACCTGGATATTATCAGCTATTTCCTCTTCGTTTCCTCATATAGAAACTGGCAATACTTTGAAAAATTTTACTTTGTCAATTTTATATTATATATTTTTAAGGAAAAACTGCAATAGGCTGAATGTCCTTTGGCCTGAATCAGTTCCACAACCATCGCTATCATTATACTCTCTTCTGTCATCACTCCACCACCACACTCATCATCATCCCTACTATCACAACTGTCACCACAAACACCACCACCATAAACCACTACACCCACCATCAACCACCACCATAAACCACTACACCCACCATCAACCCCCCCCCCCCCCGTCCCCATAAACACGGCAAATGCTGGTAATCCCGCCGCCAAACCCGCTATTAATGAGTTAAAACTCGATTACATTCGATCATTTCGCGAACACTGACGACTGTTCGAATCGCGGCGCTGTACAACATTCACCCTCACACTACACATACAAATTATTTACCAACGGAACCTATATTCCTATAAAACCCTACGTCTGACTATGCACTTTATGCAAATATTATAATATTAAATGTATAATATTAATTTTACATTTAAGAATATTCCATTTTTGAATGAACGCCCATGTTAAAAATCGATGACTGCGACTTTGGGGTCGGCCGTTGGATGGAATGAACATGAGCTCAGGACGGGCCGCCCACGTATGGCAAATACAAATAATTGTCAACAGAACCTAAATACCCAACCCAGGCCTAACTGTACATGCAATTATAATATAGAACAATATTTGAACAAAGAAATTTGGTTTTGAATACACACAGTTCGTTTATATTCACGAGGAGTTGATCAGCCGGGGCAGGATTCTCCAAGGATTTACGCTTCTTCTTACGAAACCTATACATCATTTAACAGTCTTAGCGGCTTTGTTTACGTTTCTTAAATACGAGCATAGAAGCTTCCCAATCCGAGGTTGTTATTATAATGAAAAACCTCGTTACACACAGAAATCACAATAGCGTGATGTATCAAATGAACAAATCCACAAGGGCCGTGGATTATGGCAGCGTTTGGGATACTCTCGGACGTAGGTTCCAATCCTCGTCACGGCCCTTGTGGATTTGTTCATTAAAATCCTCGTCATGTTTCGGAGCTGTTGAATTGTTCAATATATACAAACTAAGCTGCGATAATTGTCGGAAGATGTACAGGTTTCGCAAGTGCTTGCGTAAACGCTCCATGAAACTTGACCCAGATGAGGGGTGGAACTACAGCTCCGTCTCCCCGGGTGAGGGGTGAGGGGAAGAGGGGGGGGGAGAAGAGGGGGGGGGGTAGGGGGGGGAGCTTACCTAGAGACATGGTGAGAGAGGTGCGCGCGCGCACGCCTGCACGCTCCCGGCTCAATCACTCTGTTGAGGAAATGGCGAACATTATGAAATGTGAGTGATATAGTGATTCACACACACACACACACACACACACACACACACACACACACACACACACACACACTTACGTACACACCAAGCCACAAACATATACACACAGCACATGAGATCAAATAATTTATATATATATATATATATATATATATATATATATATATATATATATATATATATATATATATATATACAGAGAGAGAGAGAGGAAATAAGGCGGCCAGACTATAAGAATGGACTAAGAAAACAGAGTATAAGAACAAGACAAGTAGGCTGGAGTATGAGCACAATGTACAAGGACAATATCATTAGGGCAGAGCATCAGGACAATAAGACCAGGGTATAAGAAAAAGTCCAGTAAACCAAAGTATAACGACCTGACAGGTAAAGCAGGCCATAAATGGTCAATAAAATCCAAGGCAGAAATTATCAATAAAGTCCAAGACAGAAAGGTTTATTTCTGTCTTGTTTCTGTTTGTTTCTATACCTGTCCAAGACAAGACAGACAGAAGACAAAACAGAATCAAGGTCGACAATCCCTTTCTGACGCAAGACGCAAGAGTCACGAGAAATGGTCAGGATTATCGACGTCCTTAACACGATTTTGATTTTATTAATTTATTACGCATCCCCATACCCATCCCCGTGGGCGTTAGTGGACTCCATACCCATCCCTGTGGGTGTTAGTGGACCCCATACCCATCCCCGTGGGCGTTAGTGGACTCCATACCCATCCCTGTGGGTGTTAGTGGACCCCATACCCATCCCCGTGGGCGTTAGTGGACTCCATACCCATCCCTGTGGGTGTTAGTGGACCCCATACCCATCCCCGTGGGCGTTAGTGGACTCCATACCCATCCCTGTGGGTGTTAGTGGACCCCATACCCATCCCCGTGGGCGTTAGTGGACTCCATACCCATCCCTGTGGGTGTTAGTGGACCCCATACCCATCCCCGTGGGCGTTAGTGGACTCCATACCCATCCCTGTGGGTGTTAGTGGACCCCATACCCATCCCCGTGGGCGTTAGTGGACTCCATACCCATCCCTGTGGGTGTTAGTGGACCCCATACCCATCCCCGTGGGCGTTAGTGGACCCCATACCCATCCCTGTGGGTGTTAGTGGACCCCATACCCATCCCCGTGGGCGTTAGTGGACTCCATACCCATCCCTGTGGGTGTTAGTGGACCCCATACCCATCCCCGTGGGCGTTAGTGGACCCCATACCCATCCCTGTGGGTGTTAGTGGACTCCATACCCATCCCCGTGGGCGTTAGTGGACTCCATACCCATCCCTGTGGGTGTTAGTGGACCCCATACCCATCCCCGTGGGCGTTAGTGGACCCCATACCCATCCCTGTGGGTGTTAGTGGACCCCATACCCATCCCCGTGGGCGTTAGTGGACTCCATACCCATCCCTGTGGGTGTTAGTGGACCCCATACCCATCCCCGTGGGCGTTAGTGGACCCCTTACCCATCCCTGTGGGCGTTAGTGGACCCCATACCCATCCCTGTGGGTGTTAGTGGACCCCATACCCATCCCTGTGAGGGGGATTGCGGACAAATTTACAGAAGCACATAGGGGCCTCAGGGACTGACTGATCCCACAAGGAGAGAGAGACAAGCTTGAGCAACAGCGCTGGGACTCCCTCCCGCCATCACTCGTGTAGTCTGGTGACATGTACACCAAACAGTTATGGAGCCAGGGTGGCGGCACTGGAGCAAAGATCAACTTATCATACATTTATTGTCAGTTGTCCTACAGGAAGTCTACTAAATGGCTCATGTCCTATCGTGACTGAGGGAGTTGAAGGGTTGAGTCACCGCCAAGTGATCTAATGAAATTGATGTATTTACACCAAGTCTTTCGCAGTCTCCTGAGTGCTTTGTCAAGGTCTAGGGGTGGGGTCTGGACGAGGCTTACATCTTAAAGTCTAATGAGGCTGCTACCTTAGATCCAATCAAGACCTGGATCAAATTACATAAGTGTGGGGTTTTATCATATGTTATTATGTCTATGAGAAGACATTACCATTACTTAATAATAATAATAATAATAATAATAATAATGGTAATGTCTTCTCATTTTATTCAAACAAAATAAAATTTATTGGGCATGTTAAAGTGGCTACATTGTAGGTGGTTGTTAGTAGAAGAGCCAGTGGTGTCTGTTAGTACAAGAGCCAGTGGTGTCTGTTAGTACAAGAGCCAGTGGTGTCTGTTAGTACAAGAGCCAGTGGTGTCTGTTAGTACAAGAGCCAGTGGTGTCTGTTAGTACAAGAGCCAGTGGTGTCTGTTAGTACAAGAGCCAGTGGTGTCTGTTAGTACAAGAGCCAGTGGTGTCTGTTAGTACAAGAGCCAGTGGTGTCTGTTAGTACAAGAGCCAGTGGTGTCTGTTAGTACAAGAGCCAGTGGTGTCTGTTAGTACAAGAGCCAGTGGTGTCTGTTAGTACAAGAGCCAGTGGTGTCTGTTAGTACAAGAGCCAGTGGTGTCTGTTAGTACAAGAGTCAGTGGTGTCCCCTTGAACAAGAACCAGTGGTGTCTGCTAGTACAAGAGCCAGTGGTGTCTGTTAGTACAAGAGCCAGTGGTGTCCCCTTGAACAAGAGCCAGTGGTGTCCCCTTGAACAAGAACCAGTGGTGTCTGCTAGTACAAGAGCCAGTGGTGTCCCCTTGAACAAGAGCCAGTGGTGTCTGTTAGTACAAGAGCCAGTGGTGTCCCCTTGAACAAGAACCAGTGGTGTCCCCTTGAACAAGAACCAGTGGTGTCTGCTAGTACAAGAGCCAGTGGTGTCCCCTTGAACAAGAACCAGTGGTGTCCCCTTGAACAAGAACCAGTGGTGTCTGCTAGTACAAGAGCCAGTGGTGTCTGCTAGTACAAGAGCCAGTGGTGTCTGTTCGTACAAGAGCCAGTGGTGTCCCCTTGAACAAGAGCCAGTGGTGTCCCCTTGAACAAGAGCCAGTGGTGTCTGCTAGTACAAGAGCCAGTGGTGTCTGTTCGTACAAGAGCCAGTGGTGTCCCCTTGAACAAGAGCCAGTGGTGTCCCCTTGAACAAGAGCCAGTGGTGTCCCCTTGAACAAGAGCCAGTGGTGTCTGTTAGTACAAGAGCCAGTGGTGTCCCCTTGAACAAGAGCCAGTGGTGACTGCTAGTACAAGAGCCAGTGGTGTCTGTTAGTACAAGAGCCAGTGGTGTCTGTTAGTACAAGAGCCAGTGGTGTCTGTTAGTACAAGAGCCAGTGGTGTCTGTTAGTAGAAGAGCCAGTGGTGTCTGTTAGTACAAGAGCCAGTGGTGTCTACTAGTACAAGAGCCAGTGGTGTCTGTTAGTACAAGAGCCAGTGGTGTCTGCTAGTACAAGAGCCAGTGGTGTCCCCTTGAACAAGAGCCAGTGGTGTCCCCTTGAACAAGAACCAGTGGTGTCTGCTAGTACAAGAGCCAGTGGTGTCTGTTAGTACAAGAGCCAGTGGTGTCTGTTAGTACAAGAGCCAGTGGTGTCTGCTAGTACAAGAGCCAGTGGTGTCTGTTAGTACAGGAGCCAGTGGTGTCTACTAGTACAAGAGCCAGTGGTGTCTACTAGTACAAGAGCCAGTGGTGTCTGTTAGTACAAGAGCCAGTGGTGTCTGTTAGTACAAGAGCCAGTGGTGTCTGTTAGTACAAGAGCCAGTGGTGTCTGTTAGTACAAGAGCCAGTGGTGTCCCCTTGAACAAGAGCCAGTGGTGTCCCCTTGAACAAGAACCAGTGGTGTCTGCTAGTACAAGAGCCAGTGGTGTCTGTTAGTACAAGAGCCAGTGGTGTCTACTAGTACAAGAGCCAGTGGTGTCCCCTTGAACAAGAGCCAGTGGTGTCCCCTTGAACAAGAACCAGTGGTGTCTGCTAGTACAAGAGCCAGTGGTGTCTGTTAGTACAAGAGCCAGTGGTGTCTACTAGTACAAGAGCCAGTGGTGTCTGTTAGTACAAGAGCCAGGTGATGGTAGAGGGGCTCCGACACCCATCCTGCAGGAGGCGAACACGTACCAGCGACCATAACCCGCGCCTGCAGCGCCAGGGCCTGAGAGTTGCTACACGCCTCCACCCAACTATGAACCACTCATATTGATATAATGCGAGGAACAGAACCCAAGCGCACCAAAGCTTGGCTACCCATGAGGATGGGGAGTAGGCTCACAGGTGACAGAAGAAAAGGAGGGATATGTCAACATTGTGTAAAAATACCCATCAGGCCGTTGGTACAAAATTTAACAGTGTAGAGTTATAAACCAACTAAGAATACCACCGAGACTTAACAACGTAGAAGTTGTTAAGACACTGGACTTGCTGAAGCCTCCTTCACTCACTTATTTACCTCCCTCTTTATACATTACGTTTTTTCACAGTTTTTTCCACTTTACCTTAGCACTCAACTGCGTAGCTCACTCTTGGGGTCGTTTGAAGCAGGTGCGGCAAAAGTCCAGCGTGATCTATCTTGCCCAATGTGTCTTAATGCCGCATCTATCGCATCACCCACGTCCAACACAACACAAACCCTTGGGTATCCTCGCGAAGCGGTTCACCAGCCCTCAGGCCCACGGGGGGGAAGCCCTTGGACGAGCGAGGACGAATGCAGCTCTTCCCTGTGTGCCGAAGAAGCTGGTACTGGCCGCCGGGGAGGCGTGCGTGGTGGTGGTGGCGGCGCCACACAGGTAACTAGGCGGAGTCATGCCATCATGGTTCCCTCCTTAAAGTATTGATCATACTCACCTGTGGTCTCTGTCCACACCAGGACCAGCAGGAGGAGCAGGAGCTGGGCATGCCAGTGTGTGGAATGTGTGGAGGGAGTGTTCCAGACTCCCGGAGCACCGCTCACACCCGCGCACACACACACACACACACACACCTCCCTAGACTGGGTGGGGACAACTGGCCACAGGAAAACTCCTGCGCAGCGTCTGTGTGCAGCGTCTGATTGCGTGTGTGTGTATGTGCGCAGCGTCTGACTGCGCGCGCGTGTGTGTGTGTATGTGCGCAGCGTCTGACTGACCGCGCGTGTGTGTGTGTGTATGCGCGCAGCGTCCGAGTGCGTGTGTGTGTGATTATCTGCGCAGCGTCTGAATGCTTGTATGACTGTACGTGTGTGCAGCATGTGCGTGCGCGTCCTTGGTGAACCTCAACACAACGGCATTTATGAGGTGTGTATGTGTGTGTGTGTGTGTGTGTGTGTGTGTGTGTGTGTGTGTGTGTGTGTGTGTGTGTGTGTGTGTGTGTGTGTGTGTGTGCATGTGTGTGTGTGTGTGTGCATGTGTGTGTGTGTGTGTGTGTGTGTGTGTGTGTGTGTGTGTGTGTGTGTGTGTGTGTGTGTGTGTGTGTGTGTGTGTGTGTGTGTGTGTGTGCGTGCGTGTGTTTGTGTATATATACACACACATATGCATTTGTGCAGCTAGCATAGACTATATGAAGGGGAGTACAGTGTCAAAAAAAACCTAGCTACGTGATGCTAAAAATCCCCATCACACAGGATGGTTAGTTATACAGAGGCACGTGATCAGTAGTCTATACTGACAAACTCTCTCAGAACAGCAACGAATTCTAGGGACTAAGCCAATCACCTTTCACTGATTTGGTGTGAGAGGAGTCAACCTTAAACTCGATCACCTCTGAATTAGACCAATAAGACCGACTTCGAATAACCTATTAAAGTCCCGTACCGCAGATTGACACCCTGCAAAGTCGGGCGAGGGACCCCAAGCGTCTGGCCTGCAACCTTGGACAGAGATAAACAAGCAAATAGACATTCTCACACACACACACACACACGCACATACACACACATACACACACACACACACACACACACACACACACACACACACACACACACACACACACACACACACACGCACAAACACACACACACACACACACACACACACACACACACACACACACACACACACATACACACACACACACACACACACACACACACTGTATATGTCTGACGGGATTGACGGCCAATTAGTACGATTGATTCGAGTATAACGAAAACTATAATTTTTAATTACAGATGATCAACAAAGATTTCGAAAATTAACATCCTGGTCACGGCACAAGACTTGTACAACCTGCCACTTATATATTCCCACAGATGCTGTGTGGCGAGGCTGTCAAGCAACCCCAGGCTGTCAAGCAACCCCAGGCTGTCAAGCAACCCCAGGGTGTCAAGCAACCCCAGGGTGTCAAGCAACCCCAGGGTGTCAAGCAACCCCAGGGTGTCAAGCAACCCCAGGCTGTCAAACAACCCCAGGGTGTCAAGCAACCCCAGGGTGTCAAGCAACCCCAGGGTGTCAAGCAACCCCAGGCTGTCAAACAACCACAGGCTGTCAAGCAACCCCAGGGTGTCAAGCAACCCCAGGCTGTCAAGCAACCCCAGGGTGTCAAGCAACCCTCAGATAAAGTACACCATAAAAGACTGCAAAGTGCAAACGGTTCTCAATAGATAAGAAACTACGAGCAAGAGGTCGGGAGGTGTGTGCCAATGGCAAGCAGTTCGTGGCGGGGAATACAGAAGCGTGCGGCTGCATGATGGGAACGAAGCCACCTCCGCCACCCCCCCCCCCCCACACTCTTCCCACTCTGTACGCACCACAGTAGACTTCCTCTGACGTAAACATGTCCCCACATTCGTAAATGACAAAACTGTTCTAGAGTGTGACATTTGAGGCAGACTATAAGTATAAAGGGAGGCCTAGGCAAGCTAGTACTTGCTAAGTCCCAGCTAATTCCTAACCAGCAACACACGCTTCCTAGCTGATCGACACCATAGCTGGTACCGGCGACCTGCTTGCCATCCATGTCAGACACACACACACATTTCCTCCCATATTACCACAATAAAATACTAAATAAAATCCCGTGAAGCTCACAGTTGTCTTGACGGGTGCTGGCCTGGTGCCCCCGTGGGCGGAGACGCCACTGCACCTCAGCCAGGTGTATGTTAGTTAAGCATCTTAAGCAGTATGTTAAGATAAGCATCTTATTGCTTCTTATTTACAATTATTACTTAACCTATCAACGGTATAGGTTAAGTAATAATTGTAATTAAGAAGCAATAAGATGCTTATCTTAACATACTAAGAAGGTTAGGTAAGGTTGGTGTTTTCTATGAAGCTTTTCAAGGTAAACTAAAATATTCACAATCAATTAGTATGTCACCTATGCACTTATATTGAAAATAAGCCAATATTGACTATAAGCAAGTGCGAGGAAGGGATGCAGCCAGGGGTGAGGGACATAGGGTAGGGGGACAGCCAATGTCCACCTACCACACTGCTGGTGAGCGTCCAGGTGTGTTGTACCTCATCAGTTGTCACCCTCCTGCTCGCTACACTCACCCTCGCAACCCCCTGACATTATACAATATGTTTAATGTATTGTTATCAGTGATATATGTTATATTCAATGCGCAAGACGTGGCTGAACCTCGTCAGCTGGCGTCAAGACCTGGTGAAACACCACTCACCCGGTGAGGCAATAACCACAACTGATCCACTTGAAGACACCCATTATAATCCCTCCATAATTCATAATTAATTACCCGTTGTTTTATGCAGTGCCAGAGTTCGATCCCGGATAGTCCAAGTGGCTGGCCACCGTCCTCACACATCAACTCTATGTTCACATCCACCTTTCATGTGCTATAAGGCTATACTAACTTAGCACTTTTTCCTAATAATAAGCCTATGTTCCTTTCCCTGAAGGATGACAAAGAGAGCTTTTTAGTGGAATGGTATAACGGAGGGACGATGAGTGTGGATAGTGTCACAATATTCACAGTGCACGAAGATATAATAGCTATAATTGGCAGCATAATATAGCATAATATAGCACAATATAGGCTGTTGTCAAGGTAGAGGCGTAAGTCATCACTCCTCAGTCATGCTGCCACCAGTTCAACCCCGAGACAATCTCTCTCACTTAACATTTTATTTACTGGCTTCTTCGGAGATTTGAAATAAGTCCTGAAAAAAACGTGTCAAATCTATACTCTAGGATACAATGTGTGTTTGCCTGTCTGTCTGTCTGTTTGCTTGTCTTGTCTGTTTGCCTGTCTTGTCTGTTTGCCTGTCTGTCTGTCTGTCTGTCTGTCTGTTTGCCTGTCTTGTCTGTTTGCCTGTCAGCGCCACCAGGAGGCGCCAGAGTGGAGGGTGTAGGAAGGTTCCAGAGTGGAGGTAGAGAGAGAGAGAGAGAGAGAGAGACACCTGGCGCATGTAAACAAACACACGTGGCAGTCTTGCCAATACACACCTGCGAGCCGCCTGTACCATACCTGCTTTTAACGGGTCGCCGTCAACAGTAAAATATACTCACTGTGGTGGATACTCACTGTGGTGGATACTCACTGTGGTGGATACTCACTGTGGTGGATACTCACTGTGGTGGATGTACGGTAACTGTGGTTGCTCTGCGGACCTCAATGTGTTCTGGGAACATTTTGGTCGATGCTTCGAGCCGCGGGAACTTCGTCTGGACCGGTGGCCACCCGTCCACCCGGTGGCCACCCGGTGGCCACCCGTCCACCCGGTGGCCACCCGTCCACCCGGTGGCCACCCGGTGGCCACCCGTCCACCCGGTGGCCACCCGTCGGCCACCCGGTGGCCACCCGTCCACCCGGTGTCCACCCGTCCACCCGGTGGCCACCCGTCCACCCGGTGGCCACCCGTCCACCCGGTGGCCACCCGTCCACCCGGTGTCCACCCGTCCACCCGGTGGCCACCCGTCCACCCGGTGTCCACCCGTCCACCCGGTGGCCACCCGTCCACCCGGTGGCCACCGCGACCCGGGATAACAACGGGAGTACTGTTGTGTGTTCCTAGGTGTTTAGTCAATATATGACACCCGAAGGCAGGTGTTTGCTCCCTCTCAGGCACACACCACAACACCTTCCATAATATGTGTTGTTGTTGTTCTGGGCACCATTGTTCCCTCTCATGGTGCCTATGTTGCTCCCTCGTACAGGTATTAAACACCAGAATGTGTAAATATCTGTTGGCAAGGGACCTGCATTCAAAGACACACTCACCTACACTCAAGAAACACTCACCCACACTCAAGAAACACTCAAAACACACTCAGCTATACACAAGGAACACTCAAAACACACTTACCTACACTGAAGACACTCACCCACACTCAAGACACCTGCACCCATCCCTTATATATGAACAATGTGTGTTATCAGAGCACATATTTACCACACGTATTATTGATCAACTGGCACATTGGGTCAGTAGGTGACGCTTCCAGAGACATTATTCCAGGAAGTGAGGGCGCACTCGGGCGGCTCTGCGGCAAGTTCCGGGTGAGTAGCGGCACTCAATTGCTAGTGTCATACGTCACGCTAGTTGTCAGCTCACTCTCTGCGCTTACTAGTTAGTGAGCTACAACTAGCAGTCATGTCAAGGTGTGTGGGGTTATGACTCTTCAATTTGCTGTTAACGTGAGCATTGGGACAATGCACTATATTTATCATCGTGGAACGTGAGGAGGATTGGCTATTTTGAGAATGTCTTTCCTGGTAATGTGTTTCGTGTTGTTGCGATGGGGCAATGTTAAGACCAGTGTACATCTTGAGTTGTCTTGTGTTGTGGTCGTGGTTACTCTCATGATGTAGTCTTTATCTCTCATACTGTAGTCTTGATCTCTCATACTGTAGTCTTTATCTCTCATACTGTAGTCTTGATCTCTCATACTGTAGTCTTGATCTCTCATACTGTAGTCTTGATCTCTCATACTGTAGTCTTGATCTCTCATACTGTAGTCTTGATCTCTCTCTCTCATGCTGTAGTCATGACCTCTCTCATGATGTGGTTTTGACCTCTCTCAAGCTGGAGTCTTGGCCCATGTCATGATGTAGTCTTCATCTCTCTCTCATGACCTAGCCTTGACCTTTGTCACGCTGTAGCTTCTCTCACTTCCCACATAGTTGAAGGTACCCCTACAACCTTCCCTCACACACAGCCGAGGCAGGGA